TTCCTCTACTGTTAGATGTTTTAAAAAACTGATGCATAGAAAATAAAGGTTTACACTTCCATGGGTCTGCCAAAATAATTTATATTTTCCTATCCATTTACACTGCTTCTTTCTTTTATTTTAGAATTGCCTAAGAGTAGCAGTTTTTTTTATGAAAATACTGATGTTGGAAGTAAAATAATGCTGAATGTAACAAATGTCATATTATTTAATTTTTTTCTCTTTTTATGTAATGGTAAAATTATGATTATTGATTAATTATTTGAAAGATTTTTGAATATGAAAATTTCAGTAATTTTCTTTACATAATTTTAAATTACTTAAAAATTAATATTTTTATAAGCAAGTAAAATCATTGTTTATGCTATACAGAGAATATTTACGTGTTTTTACAATTATTTCAGGACCATTTAATTAATGTTTAAAAAGTAATTTTTTGAATTTTTGATGTGATAACAGTTTTTCTGGATATAAGTCTGCATCATGATTTTCATAATAGAACATCTTTTTGTAAAATTTCCTGGGGATATTGATTTCCATTCCTCTTCTACTACTGTCTAGAGGCTTTGAGAGTTTGCCAGAGTTATGGTTGGTTTGTTCATAGAAAGAGCTCTTTTCCAGAGACTGAAGACACAATAGTCTATTGATGAAATGTCCGGAGGACATTAAAAAAAAATACACTGAAATGCATTGAATACATTGAAAAGGAATATATCCTGTTTCATTCATTTCCTCACTAATTTTTTTTTTTTTTTTTTTTTTTTTTTCCTGCAAGGAATCCAGTAGTAGATTTTGAAGTATTACTTGTTGCTTTTTTGATGAAGTCTTACTTTTTGAAAGTCATTGAAATGGAATTTCAAATGTCAGAAAAAGGGAAATATCGGATGTGAATCTTTGATAGTATATTGAGTTGATTTTAACATTTTTCTCCACTCTTCTTATTTTTAATTAGCCATTGTAAGAGAATCCTGTGACAGTCAAAAACCCCTTACTGAAACTTCCTTTGCATTGATAGAACTAGATTTGTACATTTTTTCTCTTCATTTTTGATAATAAATAGATCTTCTTACTTCCTTGTAAAAAAGTAAAGGAAGTATAGTAATCGCAAAACATTTTGGTTGTCAATTTCAACAGAAATATCTATTTGGATGATTGTTTTGGCATGACATCTGTACATATAAACAGAATAAAGGACTGTTTCCCCCCCCCCAGAACAGGTTGTAAAATGATTTAAACTGGATTCAAAAAAGACTTATTTTTGTGAACTTTGTTTATATATATATATATGTATATAACATATATATATATATGTCTCTCTCTCTATATATATATATGTCTTTGTTTATATATATACATATATCTTGCGTAACTCAAAAATTATTAGCCATAGAATTAAGACGCCAAATAAATACTAATTCAGAAGTCAAACAACAAAAATCAGTCATTTGTGGTTTTGCAGCTGAGGATGGTGGTTTGGTAAAACCACCGAAACTAGTCCTGTGAAAATTTTGTAAATATAACGCTGATTTTTGTTGTTTGACTTCTGAATTAGCCATAGAATGTTCAAATTCTGTATATGGGAACGCTATATCACCTACTTATGCACTCCCCCTTTTTTATTACAATTGAAAGAACGAAATATGTATATATATAAATTTCTTAATTATTGGTCATGCACTTCCAATTACAGAAGTGTTTTAAATGATGAAAATATTCATGGTTTTGGCAATGTCACATTTGTAAAAAAATAATTTTTGACAAATAACGAAATCTCGCTAAAGAGATCAGTTTTAATTAAGAATAATTCAAGGAAATAAATTTAAATGAAGTGTTGCAAAAAAATGTGTATAATTTCATGGGCCATACAAGAAGTCATGTGGTGCCCACATCTGATTTATTTTTTATTGAAGTCATTCAGGTAAATCCATACTTCATCAAGGATCACGATGTATTTCTATTTATCTTCTGCTAAATATTTTTATACAGGATTCTATAGATTCTTCTGCGTTGAGTCGTATACCTTGGCAAAAGCTGGTGAAGATTATGTTTCTTAGCTTTTTTAAGCTGTAAATATTGGTTTAGTATTTTACTGATAGCTGCTACAAATGTATTTAAAATAATTTCTGCATTAGGAAATGTTCTCGTTTTACCAATTTAACATTAGATAATACCTATCCTTTTTGAGTATTTATTTGGAGTCTTGTCATGTAGAAGTTATAATTGATTTTTTTTTTGTTGTTTTTTGATTCATAACATTGCTTATTTTGCTCTTAGAAATTTTAATAGCATGCATTTCACAACATTTCTTAATTATTTAATAGGAATATTTCTCTTCAGAAAGTTCAAAAACATTTAATCCACAACTTGCTTACATGCGACATTTTAAAAGAATACATTTATGTAGCAGATGACATTTTTCTCTTTAAATAAAGCTGCTGCCTAAAATTTTTATTCCAAAACATTTGCCTTTTTTTTTTTTTTTTTTAATTCTTTATCTAAATCATTCTAAAAATATGCAAACACCCCCTGAATGTTTAATCACTCATTAATAATCCTCTGAAAATATTACTGAAGTATGTTTTGAGGCTAAAAATTTGTCCTTTTATATCTTCTGTTCTTTCAAACTAGCATGATTTTGAATTTTTCATTTCATAATTTGAATTATGCATTTTTATGTATATCACGAAGAATGTTGTGAACGTTATTTGCGTTATATGACCAGGGGTGTTTGTGCTCCAGGGATTTTGAACTTCGATACCCGGAAATTCCAGGGATCATTGTTCAAGAGGAAGTAGGAATAATAATAAATTATTTATTTTGATCTGGGTAATTTTGTTTGCTTTGAAAGGTAAATCTCCCCCCCCCCTTCTCGAAACTCCAAAATGTCGGTAGTAAGTCCGTAAAAGTTTCAGGGGATTTTTTTGGGTCCCACAAACACCCCTGTATGACCTCCATAATCTTACCCTTAGGATCTAACTTAAAATTTTCTCTTTAGTGATACGCAGATCTATTTTGTATTTTTTACTTAATGTATTTCAAATCCATGTTAAGCTTTTCATAATACGGATGGGGTATTATGAGGTAAGTATTTAAATTCAGGGGCAGTAAGAGATAAACTGTTAGTTAAAAGTTAAACTGTCGTCATAAAATATAATTTTTTGAATTTTGGATGGAATTCATATTTTCGTTATAAATTGCTGCTCTTCATGTTTTGTGGAGTAATTTATTATGTTTTTCTCCATTAAGTGCAGAAAATAATTTTAGAAATTTTTTATTTTCACTAAAAGTTAATCTGTTTTCTTAAAATTCTGTATCTGATTATTTACAAGCTGGAGGATTCCCCCCCCCCTCCGAAAAAAAAAACTATTACATTTACCAACAATTTTCATTATTAGAATATTAATTATTAATGTTGTATCTGGATACACTTTATATTTTACTATTGTCACTTGAATTAATCTTCAAGTAGCACAGAGGATCTAACTGCTTTAAAACTTTATCCCTTTGCCATTGTTATTTAAAAGCAATGACATAGGGATGTGATTTGCATACAACACTGCTATTTAAAGGCTTTTATTAATATTGTGTTTTATGATTATTACAAACCGTTAATGCTTCTAAAATTTAACTGTGATAAGTTAAAGCATTATTTCTGGATATAAGTAGTATCAACACAGGCTACTTGACTTTCTTTTACTTTGTTTCTGAGATAGGTAAGAGAGATATTGTGATTTTCGTAAAAAAAGAGCAAAACCTGTCACCAAATTAGTTAGACTATTCAAAGAATTAGTGTTATGGAGGGAAGAAGAGAAAAATTGCAAAAATTGAATATTTTAACAATCTTTGACAAAAAGAATTTAAGGACAGTCATATACATAAATATATACTGTAGTTAGAATGATAGTTTAATTAATATGTACATTTTCTCTTTTGACATTTTTAGTTGCACATACAACTCAACACACGTAAGCTTGGATGTGTATTGAGAAACTATTCAGAATTAACCGAAAGTTTAGTTTACACTAGAGCACAACCATGTACACTGTGTCAAAAAAAAAGGTGGGCAGTTCTACATCTCCCATTTTACTGGGCCGATTGACAAAATTCAAATTGTGTTTTCCATGTCTGGAAAGTGCGAATTAGGATATACATTAGATTTATATATAGCATTGTTCTAACATAGGTATTTTGACACAAAATCGGACTTATTCTGAAATGACATGTCAATTTTTTCCATATTTCGATTCTACGACTCAAATTATATCTAAATATTAAATTTTGTAATTTTTTTTTTTCCATTGTAGATTAGTGGAAAAAAGTCATTGTTCATACTATCAAATAATTTTAACAAAGTTCGTGAATCACATTTGCCGTAATTATCGCTTATAACATGTATGCCAGATTTCAAAGTGTGCTAATATGTAAATTCACGTATAATTCACCTAGGAAATTTTGAATAAAAAACTCATAATTTTTTGCAGGTATACTTAGAAATACATCTGCTTTAAGATGATGGTAAATGTTTTATGTGTTATAATTCAATTTTAAAAATAAATCATAAAAAATGGGTGAATTTTATTTGGAATGAACATAAATTTTGAAATGTGAAAGGAAGAATCAAATAAATTTAATAAAAAAAGATATTAATAAATATATACAAGATTCAATTAACATGAAAGAGCTAAATTTTTAAGAACTACTTGTGCGATTTTTTTCAAAACTTGGCAGTTTCGCATAATTTGAGTCATAGAATCGAAATATGAAAAAAAATTCAGATGTTATTTCAGAAAAAGTCTGATTTTGTGTTAAAATACCTATATTAAAACAATGCTATATATAAATCTAATACATATCATACGTTGCACTTTCAAGACATGAAAAATGCAAGTTGAATTTTGTCAATTGGTCCAGTAGAACATGAGATACAGAACTGTCCTCTCTCTCTCTCTTTTTTCCTGCGCAGTGTATATTTAGGCAAGCTAGTTAATACCTTGCAACAGAAAGGAATGTAAGTGGTGATTGACAGTGACTGTCCGACTCGTGTCAGCAACCTCATTACTGTGAGGAAGAATGAAAGAGATTGGATTTCCTAAAAAAGAACAAAAACCTGTCATCAAATTTGTTAGATAGTGGGAGGAATTATTGTCACAAAGGGAGTAAAAGGGGTGAAAATTTGCAGAAACAGAATGCTGCAACAAATCTTTAATAGGAACAGGAAAACATATGGACATCCATATGCATACACTGACGAACCAAAACATTATGACCATCCCTGCATTTTTCATTGAACTCATCTGGATGGCATGTAGGGCAGGTGATTAAGTAGGAATGGTATTTAACTGCTGAGGGAGAAGGTAAGGAATCATTCTTGCTCTTACTTTTGTGAGTGCTGGGGAAGGCTGCTGATCTAAGCAAATTTGATAGATGGCAGATTGTAATGGGCCAAGGACACGGAAAATTATCTCCAAAACTGCACAACTGGTAGGTTATTCACAATCTGCCATTGTTAGCATTTATGCAAAGTGGATAAATGATGGTGAAACCAGCAGTAGAGGCCAAGATGTTTGATGTCCACACCTCACAAAGAAAAGGATGTTTGAGACTGTCCCACTTGGTACAGCAAAATCGGCAGCAGACAGTGGCTTAGCTGACAGCCCAGTACAATGCAGGTCCAAGTGTTTCAGAATGTGCAGTTCAATGAACATTGTTGGATGTGAGACTGTACAGCAGACATCTCACTTGTGTGCCTTTGTTGATCAAGTTTCAGATCCATGGATAGGTGGAAGACAATTGTCTAATCAGATTAATCATGATTTTTCATTCATCATCTCGATGATCATGTCAGAGTATGCCATTTTCTAGGTGATCAGATGCTCCCCTCCTGTACAGCAGGTCATACACAGGCTAGTGGTGGCAGTATTATCCTTTGGGGGGACATTCTCATGGGTACCTCTGGGACCCTTAGTTGTAGTCCTCCGAGACCTGACTATGAAAGCTGTGAACTATCTGAACATAACTGTGGATCATGCACCCTCACTTGCTGTCTGATATCCCAACTGGAAATGAAATTTTCCAGCAGCGCAATGCCCCATATCACAAAGGTTTGAATTGTGTTGGAGTGGTTCGAGGAGCATAAGGATTAATTCCATTTAATGTCCTGGCCACCTAATTTACCAAATCTTAACTTGATAGAGCACATTTGGGATGTCATCGAGTAGCAGTTCAGAGCTCAAACCATGTCAGAATATCTTGACTTTGTGTGACCACTGCTCAGATATTTGGTACAACCTATCTCCAGTCATCTTCCAAGAACTTGTGACGTGCACCCCAAGGCAAGTTGCAGCTGTTTTGTAGGCCAGAGGTTGGGCAGTGCATTATTGAGTAGGTAGGTGGTCACAATGTTTTCACTCTTCAATGTAAATATGTACTGCAATTATAATAATATAGTAATTAAAATGTGTTTATACTGTTTGCATTGTATAGAGGATGTTAAAAATTCTTACGGTTGACTACAGTATTTTGAAGATAATATTCCACTTGGCCAGAAGAAATCACTTAGCATTTTTTTTTTAAGCAATCATTGAATTATATGGAATACTGATATACGGGGAGACGAATTAGCAAGATTCTGCTTTGTTGGTTTTATGTATTTTTTTAGATACATGTAATTATTTATCAAAGTATTAATTCTTTGATATTCTTGCAGAATGTGATAATACAGAAGTGCGTGATACAGCTTTAGCTGGGAGGATGAAGTTTTCAGAATTTGACATTGATAAAGTAATGAAGAATGGAAGTAATTTACTAGCATGTGAAAGCACAAATGTTGATGTATTTGAAAATGCAGGTAAAGAAATACCTAATTATGTAATTTTAGTTTGAATTTAGAAATTATAAAATTATTAAGATTGTTAAAGAAAGAAATATTCAAATTTTAACTATCTTCAAGGTTAGTAATGATGTCTATCCCATTTTTTTGGGGGGGGGGAAAGGAAGAGTTAATAAAACACTTATGTAAGTACTAGCAGCTACGCTGCCAGCCTTCGTCTGGCTTTTAAATGTACCGGAAAAATGCCTGAAGGGAACACCAAATGTTAAATTTAAAAACTCTGCAGAATTTTATTCTGCAAAACAACTTCATAAAAAAAAAAGTTTGAAAGGTTTCAGATTTTAAATTACGTCCAAAGGGGCCTTTTTTTTAAAAATTTTTTCTCTTACGTTTATTTATTAAATGTCACGTTCTTCACACTTAAACCATAAAATTCAGTTTAAGAGCAATATCGCAAAATAGTTTTAAATCGAGCGTATCTTTAGAATTTCCAACACAGAGTATCTTGCGCTGGAGATAAAAGTGTTTTTTCTGTACAATGTTGCCATTGCTCGCTTTGAAATCCTTGAGTTTGTTAATCAAAAATTTATTAAAGTTTTACAAAATATGAAATTGATAATAAAACAAATTCCAGATTTCAAATTTGAGCTTCCACATGCCCATATTCGCAGTAGGATTACATTATCCAAAATTCGATGGCTCTGTGTACCATTGTTTTATTACAATGCGACAAATATACATACATTTATGCAGATTTTTCATTATTTAATTTCTTCAAATATAATGCAGGACTCTTAACATTTGGTGGCAACAGTTAGAAAAGTGAAACGGACATTTAGAGTGATTCAACACAAAATTGCAAAACGAAAACAATAGTCCTTCAGGGACAAAGCCCCTTTGGACTAAAAAAAGAAACCCACAAATTTAAAAAAAAAAAAAAAAAAAAGTATTACACATAACAAAATTATAATGAAATAAGCAGTATCCCTTAACACAAATATTAATTATCCTAATAAATAAACCAACTTCCTGTTGCCTTCTCTCAACAAATGTCCAGTATCCAAGAGAAACATTAAATTTAAAAACTACACAGAATTATCGCCCTCATTTTTCAAAGTGGCAACAGTGCTGATTTTCAACAGTCAGTAGTCCAGTATACAGCTGAATGAAAAACTGTTGCCCAAACCACATTTCTAAAAGAATACAACTATTGAAAATGATGTGATAAAATCGAAAAGATAAAATAAAAAAACTGATTCAGATTTTGAAAAAATCGCTTCGAGGTGCACTGGCTCTTGTCTAGATGCATAGATGCACCTATATACCAAATTTCGAAGCCCTGGGTCTATTAGCTTACATGCAGCATGAACAAAAGACACAGAGACTATTTCTTTTATTATATGTAGAGATTATATTATGTGTAAGTACTATATATGAATGATATATGCTGTTCTTATATTTTTTAAATAATGTTTCGTATTTCAGGTATGGACCCACAAGAGCATTTAGCCAGGCAACGACAGATGCTAAACAAACACTTGGGCCTCAATTTTTCATCTTTTATTGGACTTGATACTAATTATTTATCAGTTGAGGATTTTGAACTTGATCAAAAACCAAATGAAATAAAAAAGGTTATCACTTTTATTTTAGATGTAGTTATGTTAGTGTTGTACTATTTCTTTCAGACAATAATATAACCAAACATATTAAGGGGTTATATCTAGAGTTTTGTGTCTGTAATTAATTTATATATTATTAACTGTTTTTCATTTATGTAAAGAAAAGCAAGTTTATGACAAACTTATTCCTTTCACAGTATCACTAAGAACTTGCTCAGAACAGCAATCCTGATTGGAATTTATATTTTAATTATTTCTAAAAAATCCACTGTATATTTTAATTATTTATAAAAATCCATTCTCGTCAGTATTGCATTATATCAAAAGAATATGGTTATTTTTATGTCTCTGCAAAATTTTGGGCAGTATATTATTATATAATGTGTTAGCCATATCTGTCAAATTTAGATCAGAGATTCATTGTTTGGAAAATCAAGATTAGGTTTTCTATTGTTCTCTTTTTATAAATGCCATTAATATGAAAGCCATCCTCTATTTCAAATTAGGAAATACTTTAGAAATGTCTTAAAAAAACTTCATCTCCCTGTTTATATATAAGGGAGGTGGTGATTGCATTATTCTAAACCTTAGACAGGATGGTAACTAAAATTAGAGATTTTTAAATATTGTAATTAATTCTTTCTTAATGATGCTTTCTGTATAAATATATCTGGCTCTTTACTTTTACTAAAAGAGGTGACACTATCTGTTAGAAAACTAAGTAACAAAAAAATTTAGTAGATCACCAGTTATGACAGTACCAAATTTTCATTATACCACTTACGATGTTTAAAATTGAGATTTTGACATTAGAGCTGATGTAACAGATTCTAATATCAGTTTAAAATAAGTAAATAAAACCTGCATTAGGGGTGGATAAATAAAAACTGTATTTGAAAGAAAAGAAAGAACAGTTTTAATATGTGTTCATTGTAGTATTTTTGTCCTATGTATAAGACATGAAATATTTTAAATGTGGCTCCATTCTGTATGTGAAATATTTCAGACTTTTTTACGAGATTGACAGTTTTGTGTGACTAGTTATTTTGATTGCTATTCCTTTTTTATTCATTGTTTTGAACTGCAAGATTGTTTCCTTCATATTTAAAATGTTTATGGGTTTTGGTCTTTATTAATTGTTTAAATATATCTATACTTTTAGCTTGATGAAACTGAAACTTCTAACTCAGCAGTAAATGCAAATGATAGTATGGTGAAGCAGTTTAAAATCAGAACTTCAAGTAAAAATAGTATTACCTCTCATGCCTCAAATGGGTAAATATAATAGAATGTTTATTTAAAGTATGTGTGCAATTGTTAGTGCTGTATTTCATGTTTCTTTTTTTCTTTTTTTTTTTTTTTTTTTCTTTTTTTTTTTTTTTTTTTTTTTTTACATTTTGGTGCTGACAATTAGCTCTGAATTTCTTCCAAATGGAATCATTGATAATTTTTGAATAGTATATAATATTTTTAATTAGTTGTTTATGAAATAGTTTGGAATGTGTGTCAGTACTTCTCAGCAAAATGTCAAAATGCATTATTTGCATGCTCCAGGTATTTAACTCTCATTTCTCGTGCATTTTAATCACTTTTGAATTCCATCAGTTTTATCTGAATTTCCATTTAGACATAGTTTAAGAATTTCCAGCCTATGGATGTAAAAAGCATTAATTGATTAGAGTGGACACTTACTAATGCAGCATCTGCATATTAATAAAAATATCTTGTTAGTGAAGATAAATTTGTTTTTGGACTTGGGGCATTTAAACATTCAGTGTTAAAAGTTGTTTAATATTTGTCATTCATTAAATAATGAGGATAGAAATTTTTTTAAAGAATTTCTTGAGTTATGTATATAAAGCAGGCATCAAATATAGGTTGCTGCCTACCAGTGGGTCAGGAAATAATTTTTGGTGGGTTGAGAAAAATTTGGTACTCTTTTGCTTATTGCATAATTATATATATTTACCTTTACCTATGAATTTATTTATAGTTACCAATTAATTGTTAATAGTTACATATGTTTATTATTATTTCATTATTACATCATTTTATTCCAAGAATCTACTTTTCCTTTCCTCCTTTCTTTCAGAACAGTTTTAGGTATAGGTTGGTTATAAATAAATTGACCCTACATAGACCTATGTAGAATCCCTTCTGGTTGATTTATTTTGTTGAAACTTTATATATATGTTTTTATAACCCACGGGGAAAAGAAAAGTGCAACATAAAGTAATAATTCAAATTTTGACCATTCGGTAAAAAAGTGGTACATGAAAAATATATGCAATTTTTGAAATCCTTTGACAGGTGTTGGAGCAGTATTATACGATTCATCCTATCCCTTGATCTATGTTGCAAATGGTTCTGCATTCAATTTTAAAGTGGCATCATATAAAATCCACCTGTTGCAAAAGCTACATCTTTGAGACCTCCTTCAATCTGCTTGTTTTGCTTGCCACTTTTTGGTGAGAATAGAAGTTGATAATGTATGGCCTTGGAATATTTTGTGGTCAGATGAGGTGCATTTTCTCCTAGATAGAACCATGAATACTGAGAACTGTTGCATATGGGCTACTGCAGCTCCCCAAATAGCACATAAACAGTCTTTTCATTCTGATTATGTGAATGAATAGTATGAGATTACTGCTGACTTCATTTCTTGGCCTTTTTTTCTCTGAGTATTCCTTCTAACTCTAAAAGGTGTTCCAGCATGAGTGCCTGTTACTGTGAACTTCTGCTGCAGCAAGTCATTTATGCCTTACACAAATGTTTAGAGTTTTCTGTCTTCACATAAGATGGTGCATCAACCCATACATACTGCCTTACAAGAATGTTTAATCTACATTGTTATTGCAAAGTGGTGCAATACCTTGTATTGGCTAACAAGCAAAGGAACTGCTTTTTTTTTTTGTCTTTGGAGATCACTGGGTAATTTCAACCAGTTTTCCAAATGCATTAGCCTCCCCATTCTCTGTATTGGAATCCTTGTGATTTCTGGTTATGGGGATTCCTGAAGGATTGTGTGTATTGAGGAAGTATGCAGACTGTGCCTGAATTAAAGCAAGTATAACATGCCTTGTTGCTACAGTTCATCTAGAAACCTTTTGTGATACTGTTGAACGTGCTATATCACATTTAGAACATATGATAGATGCAAATGGAATGTTGAGCGAATGAATATCTCCTGTGTGCACGTGACCTTGGAGCACTGAATGTTACTGTATGCCTGAGTGCATTTTGTAGTTAAGCCTAACATGCTAATATAGTTCTAATAAAATCTGCCTTTTATCAAAATATTTGGATTCTTGCATGTGTTATGTTGCATGTGTTATTCTTGCATGTTTCCTAATACTTAAAAATTCAGAATAAGTTAAGTGCAGTATATGTTATAATGATTATATTCTCAAATTTAAATTCTTTCTGCATAATAATCAAGCGAAATACTCCAGAATTTAAACATCAGTGCTTATTACTTGTACATCCTATTGCCATATACACTGCTCTGCATGAAGTGTTTCTAAAGTATGCACGTATGTTGTTAGAATTGCACAACGTTTGCAGAATAAAATAAGTAACATTTATTACAATAATGCTAACACTCTATAAATTCTATTCAATAAATTTCCACATTTTTTTGACATAATTTATGCACATTTAAGATATGAAATAAAATGTTCCATTTCAGTTTATCCTATATGATATGTAGGGCTATAAGTGATGCCAACTGGTCTGTGGGGGCCCATCATATCAAAACAGAGTTGCCACGCTACCTGGAAAACCTGGAGAACCAAAACAAGTCTGGGAATTCGAAAATTGACCAAAAAATTCAGGGAAAAGTCAGGGAATTTAAGTATTTTAGTAAAAATCTGGGAATTTCATACAACAATCCCGCCAAAAAAAGCGAGTTTTGCGCAGACGTCGGAAGAGATCACTTTTTTGGCAAATTGTGTATCACGGAAGTCATTCAGGCAGCTGGCATAGAGCCAATTTTCACAGTTCCAATTTGATTGTCTTTTAGAAAGGCAAAGCAAGTTTCCCATAACTTTTGGTTTCCAGTAACCTCGAGAATCGAGAGAATCACATGTGCAGTGCATGAACTAAAGAAATTACCTGTTCTCATATAAAACAAAATGGGTTTAATCCTAGTATATGGTACCATGGAGGTTAGAATCAAAGAATATGTATTGTAAAGAAGAAAAACCTCTCTGCAACAAATGTGGCTCCGTTCCATAATAGAGGGAAACAACTGTGCATGCGCGATATAGTCGCCAAAGCTCGAAACCGGTGTCTAAGTTCGAAGGTCACGTTATCAAGAGTTCATAAAATGAATATTGTTTAAAATTTCATTAAACTCTAAAGGAAAAGAAAATATTTTTTTGGCGCAAGTAAATTAATTCATGGATTAGTTATTTTGAGGAAAAAAAAAATCTACGAAAATCCGTTTTTAAAATTATTGCAAAAAATGGATTTTCGTAGTTTTCTTTTTTGTCTATGTAAAGACGAAAATGAATTTATGTCTATGTAAAGAACGTTTCTTCTTAACATGTGTTTCTCAATTTCCTGTACACATTGCGGAGAAGGAAATTCTGGCCGCCATGTTCTGTCGCCAAATCCCTTGGCAAATTTTCATTCCGCATTCTAGTGGCATAATAGCATTTTACGTGTATGGAACCTTTTCGTCTTTACATAGACTTTTTTGGTTAGAATAATCTCCATGTATTATACAACGGGATTTGGCGACATGATGATGAGCAGTAAACGGGTTATTTTGGTCTTCACGACAATTTTCAAAATCGTGCCAAGGCCTTACCATGTACTTGAATTTTAGCTCAAAATCTTTATAAACCTTTTTTTTCCTTCTTTTTAATAAATATCTTGTCATTTTGCAGTAAAATAAAAAAAATAGTAATCAGTCATCTAGGCTAACCATGTAATCATGTAATATAACTATATTCGCTAAAATATCGTTGATTATTCTAATTCAATGTTTAAGTAATTATCTTTATTTTTATGTAATTTGTATAATTTAATGTTGCTTCTTCCCTCTAAATTTATTTCTTATTAGTAAATAATATTTCCAAATTTCAGGAAATTTTCTCTGGCGTAATCTTGAAATTAATTCTAGCAGTATGATGACATACTATCACGAAATTTAATGCATATATTTTTTCCTTTTACGTATGCTGTGAAATAAATATAAAATACCTCAATTTATTAAAAAAATATCATTAAATAGATTTCTCTTTCGTTTAGCTGCAGAATGCCTGCAAAAAAAGCCTTATTTTATTCCAGATTGGGCAGATTCTGATCTCAATCTTCAGTTCAATCATCTTTTAAGAAGACACCTCTCACAAATTAAATTTACCTAAAATCTAACCTAGTTAGCCTTGCATTGTAATTTATAAGGACTGGATTAGCCTCGTGTTGAACTGGTGATGATCATGAGTAATAATTAAATAAAACATACATTTTGTTATCCAATATATATATCTTAAATTTTATTAAGTTTCTTAAGTGGAAAACTAAACAAAATTATCAAACAAAGTATACCAAGAATAATTAAGAATAAATGTCCTCTGGGATTTATTGAATAATTAAGTGAATTTGCTACACAATACAAGTAATACCATAATTAATTTACCTCTTAGCACAGCCAACGTACATTACGCGGATAGACTGGAATTTTCTTGAAACACACCTGGAAAACCTGGAAAAGTCAGGGAATTTCATTCTCCTGTTTGAGTGGCAACCCTGTCAAAAGGTCTGTATACCATTTGATATGGTGGGTCCCCGGAAGGAAACTGAGCTGCATCGTATATAATGTGTTGGGAACAAAGAAGTTAAACAGATGCTGTGGTTAAATAAAATTTTGTTTTCTATTTTCATGTGTGACGAATGCAGAAGCTATCCTTCGATACAGAATTTTACAAACCCTTGAAGGATTAAATATATTTACAAAATTTTTTACTTGCATTAACAATCTGGAGAAACTAATCACTTAAATTTGGAGGTATTAAAATAAAATTTAAACTGTATTTAAAATATGTGTTTTATAAATAGCAGTATCTGAAATAACTGTCATTATTTTAATTATTACAGCTAAAGATTGTTTATGCTTTTAAATGAATTCATAAACATTTCATATTAATTTACTTGTTATATATTCTGTATCTAATAATGCTTTGGAATAAATTTGATTAGCATATTACAGTTTTAGTTTTTATTACTTGAATACTTTTTCAGACCTGAATATGAGCCACTGAAGAAGAAATGGCGATGTGATGAAAATTCAGACCCTGAGGAAATGTCTGTTGACATATCTAATACAGAAAATTTGTGGGAAGAAGTATGCAATAACATTTACATTTATATTTAATCTTTTGTAAAAAATTGCCATCCTTACCAAATAAAAAATTGGAATTTTTGGTATTTTTTGATTACACCTCCGATTTTAACGTACTATAATACTGCTATATTTTGGGCATATTTTTTTAGTATACATATTACAATAGCTGACCTTTGCATGCACATAGACATGACACATTTTTGAGTACAAATGGATTTCTCATTTTGCTTTTCTGTTTTGTAATTTCTATTTTGTATTTTCAGTATTCATCACTTGTGAAAATGTAAATATGAATCATATAAATTCTTGTTTTTTCTTATAACATTTCTTTGTTATATAAAATACTTCTTTCTATTATTATTTGTGAATAAAACAACAACACCTATGTGCCATAATGATAGGCAAATGTTTTTTGTCAATCCAGAAAGTGACCAATGAGTTCCTGAATTTGGGTAGGAGTGCGAATAATCAGAAAGTGCTAAATTTTTTCATATTTTTATTGATTTTTATCCTAAGTTATTTTTAGTTTCTAGTCTTTCATGAGGCTAATTATTTGCATAATGTTAAATTTGAAGAAATGATAAATTATTTTTAACGTCTCTTAAATTTGAGTGTTTGTTTGAAATTCAATTGTAAGGTTTGTCTAAAAAGTTTTTGACTTTGTATTTTCGTGTGCACACTGGTAGGAGACAGCTTAATATACACGCGTGAATTTTTCCTTTGCTTTCAAGTGTGCCAGTCACTACCTGCTTGCCACCGAGTAAGGTGCTGTTATTCTTGTTCGTCAAATATTTTACTTCTGTCAAGATGTCCGAATCAGATTTTATCAAAATTTTGTGATTCTCAAAGTGAAACAATTTGTAAGATTTTACAATATTTTTAGATAATGCTATGGGGGTAACACAAGTTAAGGAGTGGTTCAACCAATTTAAAAATGGCCGCACATCAAAAGAGAGTGACCAGCATTCTGGTAGACCATAAACCACTCGGAATGTAGCTGTTGTTGGGAAGGGCTACAGTCTGGTAAATTGAAATCGTCGTTTGTTTTCCCAAGGGATTGCCAAAGCAATTGGGATAAGTAAAGATTCTGCTCATGCAGTTTTGCATGCAATACAATATGCACAGAAGGACTGTAAAATTTGTGCCCAGGCTGCTGTTGGCAGAACAGAAAGAACTCTTGAGGCTGCACAGAACCTGCTCAACACTGCCAGCACTGACCCTGAGTTTCTGAACTCTGTGATAATTGGAGATGAGTCATGGATATACAGGTACCACCTGCAAGGAGAAGCACAGTTGTTGCAATGGAAGCATCCTCAGTCCACAAGGTCAGAAAAGTGGGACAAAGGCAAAGCAAAATCTGCCTTGTTCTTTGTGGATCATGAATAAGTCCTGGAAGGACAAATAGTGACAAAAGAGTACTATCAACAAGTTCTCTGCCCACTTCATGATGCAATTTGACACAAAAAAACCAAATCTCTGGATGGTGAAAAATTGGCAGTTGCACTATGACAATGTTTCATCACACATGGTCCAGACTTTTTTGGCGAAATGTGGAATTCCAGTCATACACCAATTTCCTACTCTCCAGACATGACTCATAGTGATTTCTTTCTTGCTTCCAAAATTGAAGATGACATTGAAAGAATCCTGTTTGAGATTAGAGAAGAGATAGTGCAGAATGCGACAGCGGAAGGATTGGTTTGCTAAGTGTGTGGAAGTTCAGTGGGGCCTGCTTTGAAGGGGATTAGGGTCCTAATCCTGTCACATACCCAAGTAGCACGGCAACGTCGTAATGATGTTGCAAACTGGTCGGAGAGGTTGCAAAGTGGTCGTGGTAACTTTTACGACGTCTTTACAATGTTGAGAAGACACAAAATACTTGCTGTTGCGTCTTGGTAATTTGCCGAAGTCGCTGAAACATCATGATGTAACCGTGTTTAGACATGGTCGTTTTAGCATCTTTTTCATAGTTCATCAGCGTTACTTTTAGAATGAAAAGAAACTAAATCTGCCCTTTCGAGAATCTGAAGTCCGCATAAGATTTATTTTGCAATGTTTCATTACATTATTTCATCTAAATATATTAATTTAAGGTAGATTCATCTAATGAAATATAAATTTAATATAAATACTTGAATTATAAAATTTAATTAGTGTTAAAAATACGTCCTAAATTATTGTTAAAATTTTGTTAAAAAAATACTTAATACTTAAATATTTTTATAAATATTATAGCAAAATATTTAAAAATGAAACAAATCTATAAAGTAAGTTATTAAGTTATGCATTTTATATATTTTAAAAAATCATATTTTTGAAATCAATGCAAATCTCTTGTTAGCAATTATTTTACTGCTGAAGTATGACTTTATTTATTATTTTTGAAGGACGAATTTATTTGAATTAATATGCTAACATAATATGAAACATTTTTACCGCATACAGAGCAAAAAGTACAATTTTCACGAAGATATGATTGTGCGTGAAGATGTATTCACGATTATAAATGGGGCGGTTTTAAGAATTTCCAGAAAACGTCCAATGTTAAAAGAAGTTGCATATCCATTCATATTTAATGGCTGTCCAAAATATCTTGACGGAAAATTAATGGAAAAGGAGAAAGAAATATTAACACTTGTAATGGAAAACGACAAAATTAATGGCTTTGATAAATTACTAATAAATGTTGACATCAATCCTAGTATACGGTACACTCGGGATTTGGCGATATTGACATTACAAATGTTTTAGCGAGCCCAATAAATATTTTTTGTAAATATAACCTTGTGAACATTTTTCGTAATTCTATTCAGTTGAAATAATTCTTCTAAGCCATTTAAAAAAGATTCTATTAAATTATCAGAAGAACCGTCAAAAGGTTTAATGTAATTCTATAACTTGCTGAAAAGTTAGACTGAAACGATTGACATTCCATGCATATAATTTACTGGATCATTATGTAAATGAACATGTGAGGTTGAGGCTTGTGCACTTTGGCTAGCTGCCAAATTTGAACAAGTCAGTTAACGGCATCTTATTTTCAGGAATGTTTTCTTTGCGGATTTGCAATCCACCGACCAAATTAAATACTGGAGAGCTTCAATACAGAAAGAGAACAATGCACAAGAATATAGTGATGGCAGTTTATTTTTAATTAAGGAGAAATCTTCGCGGTAATGCCGAATTTCTGCTTATTTTGTTTGTGAATATCTGCTCTGCAAGACCACACAAAAATTTTGAATTTTTGGATGCATTTTTGGATCGTTTAAAGAAAATATCGGATGCAGCTTGCTAAAATCGTCCATATACAGTGAAATAGTGTTCTGTTTTGGTGTTTTATGTGTTACCAGTGGTTAAAATTGGTGTTTTTTTCTAATCTTGGTGACCCCAGCGGTGCAATATTTGGATACACGGATGCGATTCGGGTATGATGTCATAAGTGCTATATTGTATATCATTCATATTAATCAATTATTGTGTTGGTGCTTAGAATTAATTCATATGAGACCAAAGACAACATACAACGTTAAGGCAATTTCTGATTTTGCTGAAAATGCAATCCATGCAGAAGCAACAACAATTAAGGCTGTTATGGTATGTTCATGAGTTTCAAAATAGAAAGAAATTATTGGACTGGTACTTAATATGACTGCTGAAGATGAATTAGATATATGTAATAACATATTAGATAAATACAAGGAATACATTAAAATTAATAATAATGCACATTGTATATTATGTTGTCCTTTGTATAGTATGCAGAAAAGGTTAATGATTTTAAAGTGTATTAAATGTATAATCGAAAAAGTAGTGTTAAGGAAACATTAGTGTTACTATGAAATATTGAAATTTATAATTATGTGATATTTAATTGTGTAATATTAAAAAACACTAAATATTTTTTATTGATTGCAATTGCAGTTTTATTACTTTTCGTTTGGTATCTATCCTTCCAAACATTGTGTAATTCACGTTTTTTTAAATATTGCCATTATGTATGTTTATTATATTATCTCAATAAATGAATGTTGGAAGTTAGGTTTTATTTTTTATTAAATTTAAGTATATTCTATTTTCTTTGCTTACTTTTTATGTTCTTGCAATAACAAAGAAGTTCATAATAAATAGAAACAAAAAGTTTCATCGTGTGCTATATAACGAAGAGCTTACTTTAACGTACTTAGCTTACTATTGTATGCTATATTATTTAAATTATTTCTGTACAGTAACAAAAGAAAAAGTTATTGATTATATAAAGTGCATGAAATAATCATTGTAATCCTCCGCTATTCTAAAATGTAGAAACTAAAAGTAAGTAAATACATTAACATATGATCAAAAGAAATGGTGTTAAAAACATCAGCATTATTAATAAATACTGCAATCCATAATTATTGCACTTTTAATTGCTTACTATTTAAAAAGCACGAATAATTTTTTATTAATTGGAAATTTTTGTTCTGTTACCTTCTTTCTACTTATTTATACTTTCAAACACTGCCATTTCATGTTTTTTCTTAAATAGTGCTGTCATGTATGTTGTTTGTTAGGTTATTATTTCATTTTAGATATGAATGTAAAAAGTTTTCTTTCTTTCTTTTCTTTTTTTTTTTTTTTTTTTTGTAATTAGATTTAGGTATATTTTTTTAAGAAATACTTTTGATCACATTTATTAACTACTCTATACAGTGTTTCATTTGGATATCTTGGAGATATAGAAGTTAATGGTTATATTTTTTACTATAAAATGCGAATAAATTTATACTTGAATTCGGGTAAAATATTATGCTAGCTTAAGAACCACTTCCTAATTTATCATGACGGAGGCAATTTTCAATGTCTCTGAGATTTAACAGAAATAAATGTGATAATGCTGTTATATTCAGAAACGCTCTTTTTTTACCCACATATCTTTACTTTTATTTATGTCTGCTTGAGTTTTATTTACTTAAAACCTACTATTAATGTTATATATTTATAATAACCACTTTCATAGTTATTCTCACTTACATACTAAAGGTTTAAGGGGAAAAAATGATGAAATCTTAAATAATCACGACTTGAAATTTAAGTTATTTAAAAATATATATTTTAAAGTACTGAAGATATATAAGGCTATTATTAATTATGCATATTTATTCTAAAGAAAAAAAAAATTGTATTATCTTCTGGTTTTCAGGAAATGATAAAATATTGGAACTTTAGATATATACAAGGAATACAAAATTTCAAAAAAGAAGAAAAAAAAATATCTATTATTAAGCTTATTTTTCTGCATAAATCAATATGTAACACAAGGACATAATAATGACATTTTCACAACTGTTGCAAAAAGGTGAAATTTGGTGAAAATTTAGGTGTCTTTAAGACGTCGTGATACGATGCTTTCAAAACCAAAATATCACCTGCGAAAGACGCAGTAACGACGTCTATGCGACAAAAACTTCATCTGCAAAGACGTACAACGGTTGCAAAACAGTAGATGTTCGCGGACATCTGGGCGTCTTAAAGACGACATATTGGAATGTTTTTGCAACGACATCCGCGACGAGTTTGCAACATCATTACGACGTTGCTGTGCTACTTGGGTATGTAATATACATTTCCTGGCTGAACGTCAGATACTTTTTAGACAGTCCTCGTGCATGACCGCTGTTCTAGATATTATAAATTGTAATTAAAATGATTTGTGCAAAGGTGTGTGCTAATTCAAACTGAATTACCCAGGGCAGGCGGCGAGGATGCCCCTTTGCTTATTGCCCTACAGGGTTTTCCCCTTCTACTTGGTTAATTCCTTAAAGTAGAGTACAATGGAGGAAACCACTGGCGGTACATTTCTTAAGAGCCCACCGCTAGCTCAATCAATAAAAATGATTTAAATAATGAAATGTTAATTCACATGTCAAAGATCTCTTTGTACACAACATTTCTTGTGTAGATCTTTCCATCATTTTTAAGCTCACCTTGCAAGAGGACCATTCAATATTTTGAATTTTATGTCCGTTCTTTCACAAACTCTTCAACAGGCAACATAAAGTTGACTGTGTCCAATTGCAGACTCGGGTAAAAAATGCGAACGCGCTTAAGCGTTTGGCCCTGAGACTTATTGATGGGAATAGCAAAGGCAAGATTTACAGGAAACTGCCTAGGTCTCAATTGAAACGGCAACCCTGTGCTGTGGCAACTTCACCCCATTGGCTAGTACAGTTACACAAGCAACCAATAAACTATCGGCGACAAACAGACACTTGACCCTCATATATATATGGGATGAAGTAACATCATCTCCTCTGAAATGGCTGGCTCCCGGGCTTAGCAAAGCACACCATTAGATTCCGCAGGTCCGTGGCATGCCATTTTGACCATTCGCATCTTCTTGGGACTTTAATTAGGTGGGATATTAATTAAAAACTAACTTTCCACGATGTTTTCCATACATTTTCCACATACTTTCTTGGGTTTTCCCTATTACAGGGATTTGGCTACGCGCAAAATTCTTTTTTCTTGAATATCTACGGAACGGCGGCAAGTTGAAATTCGAGACGCGCATCCTCGGATTCCAAAAAATTCTCCGAATCCATCGATACCGTTCTCATCTTTTTACGACTTTAATCGGCCAAGATGTTAATTAAAAACTGTGGAAACATTAATTTCCGAGCTCATTTTTCCAAGTGGCAACAATAAACTATCGGCAACACGCACTTTAGCCGCTTATGTATATAAAGATATATGCAAGACTATAGCAGTGCTGTTTTTGATGTTTGTTAAGATAATCCATAATATATGCATTATTCATATGAAGGATTTTATTTTAAATATGTTAATGTTTAATTCATTTTGTATTTAAAAATATTTTTGCCCATTAATTTTATTAAAAATTTATTATACTTATTGGTTATATGCCAATGCAAGTGAGAAGAGAAGTGATGTCAAGCTGTATCATGTTGCCACTTATTCCTCCATTTGGATGATTCCCATGTGCATACCATTGTTTGCTCATGAATGCTGGTGTCACAATGAGAGTTAGCATTTAAATGAAAGAAGCCATGCTCACTATCCTTATCCATCCACTAAAAAAGGAGAACATTAACAAGAAAAAGAAAATGAATAAGCATCTCATCTTTGTTTAAGAATTCTAGAACAGCTTCTAGGGTTACATAATGCTCACAAGAGTCAGAGTCACAGATTGTACTTCTAGCAGTGTATCTGTTGACAGACACTGCTCAGTTGACAGATAACCAACAAACACCATAATTATTCGCATTTTTAGTTCTTTCAGCAGTTGTGTTATATGTGTTTTTGTTCTAAATTGTGTTTATATGTGTTTTTGTTCTAAATTGTGTTTTTTTAATTTAATTTCATCCACCCAGTTTAACCATTGGTAATTATAATAATTTTTTTACCTTCATTGAATTTTTAGTTTTATGTGTTTAAAGGAGCAGTGAAATTGTGAATGCTGCATGTCATTAAAAAAAAGGTTTAAAATTTTTCTTAAAAACGTAGAAATTAGATGAATAAAAAACTGCCAAATGCAAATAATTGGTAATAATAAAAACTTAACCATGTCAAATAAGTAAATTTATATAAGTTGAAAAACAGAAAGCAAATTATCTGTTTTTGTTTTAAAACCGTGATATGAGTTTTATGTTCTTGGTTATATATATTATGTATATTTCTATTTGTGTAATTCAAATTTTAAAATTTCCTACAAAAAAGTTTTTTTTTTAATTATATAAATGACTGAAATAAGGTTTGGAACTCGAATAAATTTTGGCATTGATGTTGTTAAGATTACAGAATTTTCTTACCTTGTAATGTTATTTTAGTTTTTCATACAAGCATAATGTGTGGATGTGTTCATTCCTTTTTTGATAATCAACTTACTTGTATTTTGAAATTTGTTGATATGTTTATTGAGTTTTCATGCATTCAAAAATATACTATTAAAATATAAATAGGCATATCTTAACTTTTTCTGTAGGATGTTTTCTGAAAATAAATCCACTATGCCCAGAGATTATGGCAGTGTATTGGTTAAGAGCAGAATAGTATTTTCTTTAGCCAGTTTTTTTAATATAATTACTGTGATTCTTATTATTTTATTTCATTTGAGATGTTTATTGAAATATTAAATTAATTTTATTTAGTCTAAGCAGTGGCCTCTTGAAGCATTTAGCGATACTCTGGTTCATGATCTGTTAAATGCATCCTGGGATATTAGGCATGGTGCTGCAACTGCTTTGAGAGAAATAGTTCGCATACATGGAAAGAGTGCTGGAAAGCGGGCAGATGCTTCTCCTGATCAGGTCATATTTCTTTTGTTAGTGTATGCTTTAAACACATAATTTTTCTATGCATAGTGTTTAAAATCTACATTGGAGTGTGTATTGTGTTATTATTGAATATTGTATATATCATATAAATAAATCTGTGAGATAATAGAAGGTATAGTTTCTTGTCTGAAATAGTTTTGAATGGTTGTTCTGTTTTTGGTTTAAAAAAAAAAAAAGACTCCAGTATAAATACTATTTACTTGATAACATTTTTGTGATACTATATTGAAATAGCTCCATGTATGAAAATTCTAAGTTTTCTAATAATTGAAACAAATTTTAAGAATTAATACTTTTATTAGGGGGCTGCATACAATTTGCTAAATAATAGTACTAAAAATAGTACTATAAAAGTACAAAAAAAGGTAAATGTAGAAAAGATGTAAAGTTTTTTTTTTTTTTTTTTTTTTTACTGTTTAAGTAGAGTTTCATTTTTTTTGTATGAATCATACAAATGTAATTCAATTCTTTTCACTTTTATTTTATACACCACCTTTTTTTTAATAACAAATTTATATATTCAACATTCAATAATATGCAAATTTTCTGAGAAGCTTTATGCTTTGAAAATTTGCATATTATTAAAACAAAGCATAAACTTCTCAGAAAATTTTCACCTTATTTTATTACAGTGTGTATGAAAGAAAAATTCATATTTTACATATAACTTTGCCATATAACTGTACATTATCAGCAGATAATCATTTTATCAAAGTGAAATCTCAAAAACAACATTAACTTTGAATATTAAAGCATATATCTGCTTGTATTTTTATTTTTATGTATATACATACATTGCCATAAAAACTGATGCTCCAAAAAGTAATTGCCACATCATAATGGAACTTGGCATGAAGATGCATGTTAGACAGATATGCAAACAGCAGTACAGCATGATTTTAAGATGCATAATGGAGAAGGAATTGCACATGATCTCTTTCACATTAAAAAAAAAAATAATATGTAGAGGTGTTTTGCTGTACTTAATACGTTGCAGAGGGATTTTTTTTTTTCACTAAAAGTGTCATTGCAAATTCCCTCGAAGACAATATAATCAGCTTTTAGAGTACAAGAGGAGAAAGATCATCGGGATGATGAAGGCTGGTTAGTCAACTTTATGTGTAGTTTGCCACGTAGGTTGTTCTGACTTTGAGGAGGTACTGGAACCAATGGACAAGAGAGAAGTTTCATACATGGTGGCCAGACTCAGGATGCCTTCAGAAGACCTTCATATTGTCCAAAATGTTCACACCATGTCATCTGGATACAGGAAGCATTTCAGCAAGGGCCCCTGTGTTTCTACCATTGTAACATGCCTTACTAAACATGCTCAGTACATGTGTTGCAAGTGGGACCCACTTACCATCGCTTCTGTTTGAAATGGTTGATTGTGTTGTTTTTGATGGGATTGGACCACAATCAAATGGAACTTGGTTATCTGCAGTGACAAATCAAAATTCAGTTTGGCCAATAATATCAAATACGTGCATTCATAAAAGCCTCAAAGTGAATGCCTCAATCCTGCCCTCACTTTACAGTGGCCCATAACTTTTACACCTGGTGTGATGGTAGGGGCTGCCATTGCGTATGACATTTGGTCACCTTTAATATTGGTCCATGGCTTCATGATAGCCCACCTATGCATTAGTAACATCGTTCAGCCACATGTGTTGCCATTCATGGTAGGGCTTCCAAGAAGCATTTTTCAACAGGACAATAAGGGCCATACACAATAAGGGTGCCACAGGAATTCCTGTGCCATATTGCCTCAATGCACATCTGTATTGCATCATATAAATGCTAAAAGTGACTCAGAAGGGTACTAGAACCTCCGTTACTTTTTTTTCAGTAAGTATCCTTTTGCTTTGATTTTGGACTCATTTATTTATACCAATGTTTTACTCACATGTGTAAAACTTTAGTTAGTTCTGAGAACTCTTTTTGGTGTGCAGATTTTCTTGGCAGCGACTGCTTATATATATATGTTGAAGTTCATTAAAATGTTCTTTGTATTGCAGATGGAAATTCTGAATCAGTTATGGCTTGAAGATTTAGCATTGAGACTAACCTGTGTTTTAGCATTGGATAGATTTGGAGATTTTATATCTGATCAAGTAGGAAATTTATTTATAATTGTTTGACTTGTATCTTTTCTTTTAATTAACCACTTAATAAGTTTGGTACTTGCATATTAATGCAACAACCTTTTTAGAAATTGCCATATTTTCAGAATGTGTCAAACTCTGACAACCATGCACGTTTAACCATTCCTCTGACAACCATCCTCATAATAATCCCTCAGTCAGGGAACACCGTCATTCTCATATAATTTCTTTTTTGTTGTGTACCAAGTTCCTATGGTTTTTTATGGACAAATAGGGATATTTTTTGCCTTAAACTTAGTTTAAAAGTATGGGCTTGTGGAGTTTGCCAACAATAGAAGAAACTGTGGTAAAATTTCTGCAACAATATAGGAATTTTGCTGAAAATTTTCTAAAGGGAACAATGAGGAAATGCATTTTCTTGATAACCACTGTTACCGAGTTTTGTGATCCTTATTTAATAATTCAGATTTGTATTTTAAATTGCTAAAGAATTTTTTTCTTTTTATATGTTGATAAAGATTACAAACTTATGATAAATATCAATATTTTGGAAATTTTCTATAAAAAAAAGGGAGGGCATGAAAACCACCAACTTGCACCTGATAAGTAATGTTTATCTTTTCATATGTAAAAATTTGCCTAACTGTTCCAAGCTGGTTGCATTAATACGCAAGTACTATGAGTTTTATATATATTTAAAGATCTTGAATAGTCTAAAGAAAAGATTTGTATGTGTAAAAATAAGTAAAAAATGCAATGCAAATTAAGAAAAGGATTGTTAACCTAGGCCAAGAGTGGGAACTAGTTTTAATCACAAACCAAAAAGTTTTTTTTAGCATATCATACAGGCAGGGCTATAATCTTTTGTTGTGCCTCTCTCATTTGCAGAGCATACTGCCTAACCAGTATAGTGGTTAGTAGCATTTACTGCCATACTGATGGGTCCAGGTTTGAATCCTGGAGAAAGTATGGATATTTCTAAGCCTATGGTGTCTGTGCAGCAAGGGGAGCACTCAAAATATGTAGTGGGGCAAAAGTTCTCTCGAGAGATTGTGGTAGACTCTTGGACTGCCTTGGGGTTGTTCACCCTAAAAACTGAAGTGGAATTGCAAAGTTAGTGTGCGGGGACTTTACTTGTATGTATACCTGGTGAATTTCTGTTGTTCTGCTCACCTCTACTTGTGCAAGGAAAATGCAGCTTCCCTGTAGAAATTTTCAAAAAACAATAAAAAGGGGACAAAAATGGGATTTGTTCGTAGTTGTCATCAATGGATTGACATATATAATGTTTTATTTTGAAATACAAATTAAGCGAAATGATCTTTCCATAAGTTTCATTTCCTGATTAATATTCATATATCATTCTTTAAGTTCTAAATTAAAGCTGTTTGAAATAATGGAATTATATTCTTCAGTGGGTGTACATGTTTTCTAGCACATCTAATGCTCTGAAATTAATTTGATCACTACTATGGTCATATCATGTCAGTATATGTGCATATAACACTGTAATGATAGATGCACATTCATGCTACTGATTTTAGTAGATTGCATAAAAAATCATGTCAGAAAGAGATGAAAATATTGTTGCACAGGATCTCATAACGGGTTAGATGAAGCAAATAGAATTTCTGCATTGGGCCTTCAAGTATACTTTTCTCCACTCCTGACTTGAGTTATAATCTTTTTGCATTAGGTAAGAGTACTTTTAAGCAATTTCTTTTTAACTACTGAATTTGTTGTTTCTTCTAAATCAATTTAATGTATTAAAGAAATCAATATTATATGTTCTATAATAAGATATATTTGTAGTTACATAAGCTTATGGTGAATAATTTATAATATATGAAGTACAGACATAACAGAATATTTTAGTCTTGCATTAAGTAAATAGTAACTTAATGCATAATTTAATTTCTATCAAATTCATCCTTTTCATGATGTATATAAGTACATATTGTACTTAATTTTTTGAGGGGTACATATTTTTATGTGAAATTAGTATTTTCATTTCTTTATTTGATTGGTCTTTTACAAAGTAATGTTTCTTTGATCTTAATACTTTCAAATGAATTGTTTTAAGTATAGTCTCTTAAAAGTTTAATTATTGCTCCGTTCTATAAATGCTGAGTATAACTTTTACAACCTACTGTTTAAAGAATATTTGTTTATGTAGTGAAATCTTGGTTCATAAACTTAATTCATTTTTTAAGGTAGTTAGTCACCCAAAATATTTTTTAAGCAAAACAATTTTCCCCATAAAAATTAATGTAAATTGAATTAAGTCTATTTTGGAATCCCAAATGATTGCTTAGAAAAGAGAATTTTTTTATGAGTTCATAACACAAAACCAGTGGAATTCATTAAATCTAACACAATACTCAAAATTAAAAAAAAAGTGTAGAAACTTGAATTGCATTTTACCATGTCTTTACAAAGTTGACAGCATAAGTAGAAGATGGTTAAGAAGTCAAAGGTACAAAATGGTATCATTTGAAAGGGAAATCATATTCTGTAAAAATATCAGCGTATGAAAGTAATGCTGTTGTTCATTAAAACTGAAAATTTTTATGCACATGGGAGCTGCAGATTGACATGTTGTGAAAATGTGTTCAAAATCATAGTTAAAGAAATATAAAGCAACATTGCTCTGTGATATTAATAAGCAGTTTTTTTATTCCTAAGTCTGTTTTAAATGTAAAGTTATTGAAATCGTTTTAGTTGAGTGAATCAGTCTTTAAAAAGTAATAGAATTAGAACAACTTTAATATTTATGTTGAAAAGTTCATATGAAGTTAAATAGCTCATCTTGTCAACAGAAATTCAAAAGGTATCAGAAAAATATTTTGAAATAGGTTAGAATACAAGCCAAGCTTACAATTCTATGAATAGGAAGCTTATGAATGTACTTAATATAAATTAAACTGATAAATGTCATACAAAATGACCCAAAGCTTATGAATTTATGAATATGAAGTTTATGAATGTATTTAATATTAATCAAACTGATAAATGTTATACAAAATGACCCCAAAAGGGAGGATGATCGTAATAATAAAAGTTTTAGTGCATGAATTTATGTACAATATTAAATATTTAATAAATATTTAGATGACAATGATAAATTTCTGTCCAAGTGGCTTAGTGCTGTCAGTTAAGCTTTGAATTGTAACAAAATAATTTTCTGTAATTAATGTCAAACATATAAGATCAAAACCAGCAATATGAAGTCATTTTTATTGAGACATGTCTATTATTGAATAACGTATTTAACTGAATCAGTTTTATTATTCATGTGATAGCCATTCAGACAGTATAATAAACATGTTGCAAATACACATTCAAATTCACATTCTATGAATAAATCTTAAAATAGTTTTAGTTTTCTAAACGTTTTATAATTTTAAACAAAAGTAATCTATAGATAATTATTTTATTTGTATAGTTTTTGTTATGTGGCATTTTGATTCCTTTTTAGGTTATAGCTCCAGTGCGAGAAACTTGTGCTCAAGTTTTAGGTGCAGTAACGAATATTATGTCTGAAGATCACGTTGCAAAAGTGCTGCAGATTTTGCTACAGTTATTGAGTAGACCTGAATGGGAGGCTAGACATGGTGGATTATTAGGGTTAAAATACATTTTATCTGTACGAAAGGTAATTTTTACGATTTTTTGGTCTTTGTGTGACTGATATAATTTTTTTTTTTTTAACTGGATTAATTGTTGTAGCAAAATATGTAAGAGCTATCTATCTAGAGCAGGGGCTCTCAGTCATGGGGGAATTCCCCCTGGGGTGGAATTTCAAAGTTTCAGGGAGAATGTGGTCAGCTTTTTATTTACCTGTTATGTATTTAATTTTAGTTTATGGATATTAAAATTTACTTTTATTCAAGTGTTGGTATTTATTAAAATTTTTTATACTTTTTCTGTTTAAATTATAAGACACATTAAAAAAAAATGTAAATTAGGTAAACTTATATGTATTTTTGAATTTGAGAAAGGAGGATCATCTAGCTGTGGTGAAAGTGAAATGGGTGCATGGGGCAGGAAGTCTGGAGGAAAGATTTTCTTCCTAGAGAGTTTCTAGAAGTCCGACTCACATTTGCATGAGGAAAACCATGCAGCTACTTGAAATAAAACCAGTATTTCTCAGTGGGCTTTTTATAGTTGGCATTTAATTTTTCAGAAATGCAGCATTAAAAAATCTTTATTATGACTTTCATGTACACATTATGTATCCTTTCTTTCAAGAAGAAATTTACTGATTTTTTAAAATATTTGAAACTAGGTATCACTGTTTTCAAATGAATGAAGTAAAAAATTTGTCAAAGTAGGAATTTTTCCTAACGTCCGGGCAACACGATCTGCAAGTGACTACTGCATTAACAGCTGATGTATTTCAACTAGTGTGTAACAGTTGCTAAAGTGTATGCTATAATTTTTAATTTCAAATTTTAATCATGTATTTTACATTGTAAAGACGCAAATTTATGTCAGCTTTTATGCTGAGCTACTGAACCTATTACTATTAGTTTTCCAGTTATGCTTTTATTGTTAAGCATGTTAACCTGGATCTGTAAAATCAGATTACAGATATTTCTTAATTTTTCTCTCTGCATTTTTTGAGGGGTGACTTTTGTAAATTTATTTTATGATTTCTGAGTCGGTTGTTCCAGACTATTTAAAAGGGTTACATATCAAAGGCTAAGAAGTAAAAATCTGATATTTGTCAAAGTAGGAATTTTTCCTAACATCCAGGCAACATGATCTGCAAATGACTACTGCATTAACAGCTGATGTATTTCCACTAGTGTGTAACAGCTGATGTATTTCCACTAGTGTGTAACAGTTTCAAATAACAAAGTATAAGCATTTCATATTTTTAATATACTACATAATTCTAATTTAATAATTAAAATTAGTATTTTAAATTGATAACGACATTTTCTTTTCAAATTTTGATACTATTTTCTGCTTACAATAAATATCAATAGTTCGTGAATATGTTTTTTTAAGGTTGTGAACATTATCAACTAGCACCTGGTATCTCAGAATTTTACTTCATGTGGTGAAAAAGCATTATTTCCATTAAGTTGGAAAATTTGGATCTAGGAAAATATAAATTTTGTCTGACATCATTCTAAATCTCAAAACAGAGCTATAACACATTACTTCAGAGACAATTTTGATTAAAAAATCTGTGCAAAATAACATTAACAAGAGGTTATCCCAGCTGTATCTAAGCAAATGTTCTGTGATACATATTTATGTAGGTTATAATATATTATGATTATATTTTATTATAAAGATTAAGAGTTTTACTAAACATACATCATAACTAGCTTCATATTTAAAGACACAAAACATTTGTACGCTGATCTCGGCAGGTCATGGCTGGCTTGGTCTTTCATGTATTTTCTAATCGGAAAAAAGCAAGTAGGAGACAAAATCATTTAGTAGCTTCCATGAGAGCATCTCTCGAAATGTGCCAATGTGCTATCACTAATACATACGTATCTTCCAAGATTTATTATAAATATTATGTTTATATGTGTAAACCATAAATTGACAAAATGTAAGGAAGGATTTAAAGCTTAATGGCTGTCATGAACTCTCATTATTTGGAATCATTATAAATTTTAAAATAGGTCAAAAACAAAATGTTACTATAGGAAAAACTAATCACCACCAGTTTTTAATTAGATTTATTAGCTGAAAATCTTCATATTTAATCCCTTTTGCATCATAATGAAGCTCAGTGTCATGGAATGGATTTGGAGGTAAAAGGTATAGATAGTATCACGCACTGAATTAAGATTCCAATTATTTCCCATTCACAAATATATTAACAATTTCAACAGTCCATAAGAAGTAATAAACCTTTCTGGTCTGCAAGGCATTAACACTTTAGGTTTGAGACAGCTCTGTAATTGACCAGAACATGTTAAGGTGCTCACATCCATCCTTCTCCCAAATGAAACAATCATTGATTATTAAGATATATTTGCAGATCATTTGTGACTTAATATGATGGTGATTCAAACAAGTATTATGCTATGTGCCACTAGGTTAGGTATGCCATAAAGTAGACTAAATAACAGCATTATTTGTCATCCCTTGAAGTCTCAAAGACACAAGATTTTGACAAGTGTTGCTAGTTTGTTAGAAACTGCTTGATGAGAATGGAATTCTGTAACTGGAACATTGTGCAACAGAAACCAGTTATTCAACTGAGCATTCTCCAGGCCTGATGTGTTAAATTCTTTTCAGAAATTTACCCATTACATTACTATAAATTATGCAGTTCACTGATTCCTCATGAATGATCTCTTTTCAGTTAAAAAAAGTCATTAACATGGTGACATTTCTAAAACTGAAGCTTATATGAAAGTGTTGAGCATTTTCTAATGCAAACAGAAATTTCCTGTTTTATCACTGAATTAAAGGCAAAGTATTGATCACAGTTTATTAAAAAAAAAAAAAAAAAAAAAAAAAAAAAAAAAAAAAAAAAAAAAGCAATTTAAAGAAGGAGAAGTAGTTTGTAGGTATGAAATCTAGTTAAAAGGTATGTGGATGAGAATTGTGACACTTTTCTTTGTTAGAAACTGTTTAACAAGAATGGAATTGCAGAGTTGCCAGCTCGCCTGATTTAGGCAGGATACTCCCGATTTTCGACCGGTCTCCCGCCAACCCGATTTACAATATATTTCTCCCGATGTTTTCTTTTTCTTAAAATTTCTTACGATTTTTTTATGGAACTTGGCTTAATACTTCGTTATATGAACAAAAAAGAAAAAAAAAAAAAAAAAAGGGGGGGGGTTTTGGACATCTGAAAGCAATTGAATTTTATCTAGATTATATCTAAAACAAAACCTTGTGAATCAGATGAGAATTTTTTCTGCTTTGTGAGTGAGTGCATACGTATCCAGAAACGTCCTTCTCCAGTTTTCCAATGGGCATCGAGCTCCACTGCGTGTCATCTGGCATATATCAGCCAATGAGCACAAAGCAAGCTCAAGGCTGTTATTTGTATGTTCTTTAGTTAATTCGTTCATAGTTAGTACACATGCCTTCAGGAAATAGTTTTAGAAATTGTCATCTTTTGTTATCTCTGCAAGAAAGGTGAAATACTCGTGTACGTTTCAAAAATCGTACACAGTTGACTTTCTTCCATTATTTCCTCAAGGAAATGTAATAAATTTGCGATGCGTACCGTCTGTTGTTGCGGTTTTTCGATTTCGCATGGAGGAAGGGCGGATGTTCTCAAAAATGTTCATACACAAAAACACAAGAACAACATGAGTTGTTTTGAAAAAAACGAAAAATTAAATTTTTCTTCGGAAACAAAGGACTAAAAAGTTATTAATGCAGAATGTCTGTTCTTTGCCAGACATTCTGCATTAATAACTTTTTACTGGAGCACAACCTGCCACTGAATGCATCGGATCACGCTTATTTAGAAAAATGTTTCCCGATAGTGAAATCGCTAAGAAATACTCAAGTGCAAGGACCAAAACAGCTGCAATTGTTAAACATATGGGTATGAAAAATAAAACTTCAGTTATTTGTTGCATTAAGGCAGTTCAATTTTGCATCTGTACACATGGAAGCAATACTACTTAATCAAAACTGTATCCAATTGTTGTTTCTCTTTTTTAATCCAGCGTCTTCAGAAATTGAACGTAGTTTACTTTCTGTTCCCATTTTAGAAGGACATTCGACAGGATTTGATACAGTACAACTTATTAAAGCTTTGAAAGAAAATGCAATTTCTCTGAATAATTGCTTAGCACTTGGTGCCGATAATGCACCAGTAATGGTAGGCTTGAAGACTGGTGTTGCAGGCATCTTAAGAAAAGAAAATTCAGATTTGCAGTTTATGAGGTGCTCCTGTCACCTCTTAAATTTGGCAGCTGAAAAGGGGCACCTTCTTTACCAAAATAAATGTGGATGAATACATTGTTGATATTTATTATAATCTTGAAAGGAGTTCTAAAAGGAAGGAAAAATTGAAACAGTTCCAACAGCTGCAAATCTGAAATGAGAAAAATTTTGAAATATGTGTGTACACGCTGACTGTCTTTAAAGAAATGCTTATCTAGAATCCTCAATCAATGGAACCTTTTTGCATTTTTTAAAGAAGAATTAAATGCTTCAAGAGTTAAGATAAAAGCTGTATTGAAAGTATAAAAACCCTACAGGAAATGGTAGGTTGTTGTAGTATACTACACATTGTTAAAATAGGTTTGAGAAAAATAAACTAATTTCTGCACCATTCAGCCATTTAACTTTCAGTTCTCAAAATAATACTGCAAGATATAAGCGTAAAGCTGATACAAATTTCTCTCAAAATTAAAAAATTTGTTCAAAAGACGAAACATTTTCCGATTACTGTAAGTTTAGCTAAGCACGAATCTGCCACAATTCATAACATTCTGAATACGAAAAGCAAAATCTGGAACTGTTCATCAGATTTGTTCGAAATGATTTAAAGTGTCTTTTTTGTTTCTTAAATGATGCAAAAATAAAAAATGTTTTTAGGTAAGGTATTTTGAGTGCTTGCATTTAAGAATTAGTAACTATTTAAAGTTAATTCATTATTAAAAACTATATTTTTATCATTTTGTGAAAAATCTCCCGATTTCTTAAGAAAATCTCCTGATTTTTGAGTGTCAGAGGTTGGCAAGTATGCATGTACATGCTTCTTGATACCTTATACATGTACATGCTCCTTGAGCCCTTGTACATGTTTGGGCCTAGAGGTAAAAAAATTGTACCATTCAGTAAAAATAACCATTTTCAAATTTTGCACTGCAAACTGGACGATGATAGATTTGTAGATTATAAGTTTCTCTTGTATTTTGCAAGTGTTCAGAGAGGTCCACTTAGGCTGTTTGGGCCAAATCAGTACCTATTGTTAAAATCAATGAAATGTACCTCAGTCTACTTTATGGCATACCAAACCTATTGGCACATTGCATAATACTTGTTTGAATCATCATCATATTAAGTCACAAATGATCTGCAAATATATCTTAATAATCAATGATTGTTTTATTTGGAGAAGGATGAATGAGTACCTTAACATGTTCTGGTCAATTACAGAGCTGTCTCAAACCTAATGTATTAATGCCTTGCAGACCAGAAAGGTTTATTATTTCTTATGGACTGTTGAAATTGTTAATATATTTGTGAATGGGAGATAATTGGAATCTTAATTCAGTGCGTGATACTAAATATATCTTTTACCTCCAAATCCCAGGTGTTCTTCAAATCCATTCCATGACACTGAGCTTCATTATGATGCAAAAGGGATTAAATATGAAGATTTTCAGCTAATAAATCTAATTAAAAACTGGTGGTGATTAGTTGTCCTATTAGTAACATTTTATTTTTGACCTATTTTAAAATTCATAATGATTTCAAATAATGAGAGTTCATGACAGCCATTAAAGCTTTAAATTCCTTTCCTTACACTTTGTCAATTTATGGTTTACACATATAGAAATCATAATATTTATAATAAATCTTGGAAGATACTTATGTATTAGTGCTAGCACATTGGCACAATTTCGCAGTTCTTTATTGATGAAAGGTAATAATTACTTACCAGGTGCTAGTTGATAATGTTCACAACCTTAAAAAAACATATCACGAACTATTGATATTATTGTAAGCAGAAAATAGTATCAAAATTTGAAAAGAAAATGCGTTATCAATAAAATACTAATTTTAATTATTAAATAAATTATGTAATATATTAAAAATATGAAATGCTTATACTTTTTTAAAAAAATCTTTTTCTAATTTTTTCCTGCTGTTTTTTTGCTCCATGTATTCGATGATCTGTTTTCACTTAAAAAAACATTGGAAAGTTGCACAAACTCAGCATTTTGCACTGGTTTTTACCAGTGGGTGTCATCATGATTCTCTTGTGATTTTGTGGAAGAATTTTGCCCCAGTTTTTTTCCTTTGCTCACAGATTCCTCAAGTACATATTTTAAAATTGAGTTAATGGGGGAAATATATATATATATATGTATTACAATTCAACAATATATATATATATATATACAATTCATCAATAAAAACCATTGCAATTCAGAATACGACAAAAAGAACACACATGATAATGGCAAAATTTATTAATTGAATGATTGTAATGATTGTGGCTGCCAGAGTTTGGCACATTTCTGGAAATTTGGCAGTTTCCACTGAGGTGATTATGATAATACATAAGTATCTTCTAGAGGCCTTGCCTCAGGGAAAACAGGATTTTCCCATAATGTCTCATATAATGACTTCCTGATCTTCGTGCATGTATTATCTGTCGCATTGAAAGATAAGGGAACTCGTGACATACACATATATTAATTATGCTTAAAAACATAAGTCATATAAAATAACTCCTCAAAAATGAATTTTTGATTTATAAAGTATTATCTAACCATTCAGTGCATCAGTTACATGTAATGCTGAGTATTTAATTACATTTCTCTTACCCTTTATCTTTCAGTATTTAAAAGCAATTTAAGTATAAAAAGTGCAGTTTAAATTGTGTTTTTCTGAATAGGTGTATTTGACTTCATGGTTCATGTTTTCCCCCTTTTGTGCATAATTATACTTTTCTTATTTTTTTTTTTTTTTTTTTTAAAGTTTTAAGTGTTTGACATGAATTTTATTGTTTCATTAGGATATGAATTCATTTATGATACCACTTGTGTTTCAACCTGTGTGTGAATGCCTTAAAGATAATGTTGATGACGTGAGTGCAGTTGCAGCTGCAGCATTAGTCCCTGTTACAAGTACTATTGTTAATACTTTACCAGAAAAGGTGGGTTTTTTTCTGTACATTTACTTTTTTTCATTTCATAAATTTATTTTTTAATGTGTACATCTATCCCTAATTTTTCATAATTTGAGAAATATGCAAAAACTTTTAGAAATAAATTTTTCTATAATTATTTATAAAATTTTTAGTACTTACTGGTTATCCACACTCCCCACCCAAAAGTCATCAACCAATGGCAAATGAATTTTTGCCAAGATAAGATGCAAAAGACTGCAGCCATTTTTAAAAATGGTGATTCACTAAGAATTAGATAAATTAGCAACCAATTAACGAAATTTAAAAAAATAAGAAAATCCGTAATAAAATACTTATTTTTTTTTTTAGGGAAAGATACTGTTTTGCCCATATCCACAATTTTTGTTGCAGCTTAAAAAGAAAGGGGGAAAAAAAAAAAACAGAAAATTGCCGAAGCTTGGCACGGTGTACAACTTGGTGCAGCATGTGCTGTTGATTCTTCCAATCTACACATTGAGCAGTTTTTTCATATATATATATAATGATTTGTGTATGCTTAAACATCAAAGACTTGCACAAATGATTCATAAGATTCAATCATTTACTAAATACAATTTCATGCAATGCAAATTTTTTCATTCTGAACTCTAAGGCAAAATGTGATATTTCTAAAGAAATGTAACACTTTTTTTTTCAGCAGCCAACAAACTTCATAGTCCCATTACAATTGCTTAAAAAGGGAGGGGGGCTGCACTGAATGCAACAAAAACAAACACTAATGTCCATCACATTTGAAGGAGGAAATTGAACGCTCCTCTGCAACACAAGTGCATACCTGAATTGCCACATATTTTGCTGGCATTATGTGTTACCATGCTGATTGATGTATTTTGCTGTTTTGTCTACATCATAAGTTTCCTGTTTTGGGGACATATTGTAGTGCCTTATGAAAGCTTTTTTTGGGGGGGGGGATACGAATAATCAGAAAGTACCAGATTTTCTTTGGTCAATTTTAATTAGTTTTCTAAAATACTAACCTTAACCTAAGTTGGCATATTTGAAGATGAAAGGATTGTGCATGTGTTATTTAAAAGTATTCAATATTAATTAATATTAATGTTCTGAGTGGGTCAACTTTTTGGATTTGCTCAAGACCTGTATTTAAATAGCATTTATTAACTAATTTGGATAATTGATTTTTTAGTCTCTGTTTTCTTAGAATTCCATTCCATAAGATTATATTTACATCATTAAAGAAATCAAATATTTTAAATTATAAGCTAGCATGTACTAAATGGAAAAAAAAAAAAAAAAATCTCTTGACCGGGTTTAACCCATTAGCCGCTGGTGTTGTGTTGATGCGAAGGTCAAAATAAATGCGTATATAAACATAACTACCTAAGATATTTTATACCAACAGAGGATTTTAGGTGGGGAATATTATGAAGATTATTTCTGTAAAAAAATATTTGCCTTCAACAGTCATTTTGTTTATAATAATTAATCTCATTCTTTAAGCAAAAGTTTCGACCGGGTATATCTGCCGAAAATATTTAACGAAAAAATTGCCGTCTTTATACGTGATCTATTTTTAGTCAAGGCCACCATTTATCAGAACATTACATCAATCAGATGTTTATATTTGTGTTAGGAAGGAAGGGAAAGCAGGTGTTGCGGCAGGAAGCGGGTAATCAATCTCCCTTTTTCAGTCATTCCTTTGGATGTTCTGGTTCATGTTCTGGCTGCTTTAAAAATGCCTAGAATGAAGTATCTTACATTAGAAGAAGCCTTTCAAGGATCTTTTTGGAGAAGAAACAGATGATGAAAAAATGTTAATAAGACCGAAGATATTGTTGTTCTTCTCCAGAAATTGGAGAAGCTAGTGATAAGAGAGGGATGACACTGTTTTAAATAATGATAATGATATTTACAAATGATGATATTGCTGGGAAGTGAAATTCACGTAAAGAAGTAAGTTTCGCATCTAAAACAGTGGTGTCTACGAAATAGTTTAAAAATAGAAAACGAAAATTTGAAATGGATAAAAAAGGAACCGTAATTATCTCTCCGGAGAAATGAGAAAAGGAAAGAGATAGAAGAGAAACTTGAAAGACAACTACAAGGTAAAACTAGTGGAGATTTAGATTCTTTTGTTTCAAATTTTACTCTCTTTCGTGAACAGACAAATAGATAGCTTAGCAAAAAAAATCTCCCAGAATTATTGATCTAAAGCTGGAAGATTTTTGGAATATTATTGCTTAGGGAATATTCTTTACTCAAAGGAATGTATGGTCTCTGATAAGGAATTTCTGTTCGTTTGTACGAGAATGATGTCAAGTTTGCAAGTACAGATGACGCGAATTTGCATTTAGCTGACAATAGTCAAATTGACAATAATAAATTATATAAGGTGAGACTGTATTTAAACTTACTAAATAAGAAATTACAACAGTTTGGTATATTTTCCCACGATCTGAGTATCGACAAGCAAGTGATTCCTTATCGAGGCAAACAGAAGTCGATTTATGTGATAATTTAGTAGCCAATTACAGAATAAGAGTTCGTGGTGCTGATGAATATTTACTAATTACATTGATGTAGCCTTGATAAATGCATGGAAAATATAACGACTTTCTACTACTGAAAATAAAAAGTCTTTTAGATTTCAGACGCGAGATTGCATTATTCCTTTTGCAAACTCCTATTGATAGTGTAGAATTAGCCAGAAATAGATCAGCAACAGGAAGACCTAGTAAATTCAGCATTCAGAAACCATTGCATGGAGATGGTAGACATTTTGTCGTAAAGTCTGATGATAACAAAAGACTTCGTTATAAAGAGTGCCATAGCCAGACTGTTTATAGATGCAAAGTGTGTAATGTAGCTTTACATCATGATTGTAGTGAAGCTTCTCATGCTTGAAACTTTCAACTGAAATGATCCGTATTTGTAAAAGAAATATAATGTATATTTTAATTTTAAATTACAAGTGATTTGTAGATTTATAAAACATTATACAGCTAAAAATTAATCCAGTGCTCCACTCAAAGGAAACATCACACGAGTACAATCCTACTCACTAAACAACCGTAGTCTTATTCCGTGGATGCTGCGCGAATGCAACACCTGCTTTTTCCACAGGTAAGAGCATTTTTTTTTTTTTTTTACTTTCGATGTAAATTTATGTTATAAATGCTTAATTTAATATTTTTCATTATTTTCATGAGAAAAGAATCATTCCTTGTAGTTTTGGCGGTTAATGGGTTAAAGGCAGTCGTGCCATTCAGAGGACTAATAAACTTTTTTAAAATTTTATCTTTTAATTCTTTTCTGTAACTTTAGTCACTTTCATTTTTAGCTATAAAACTGTAATTAACATTTTTAAAACTTGACAGTTCACATGTAGTCTTTATGAACAGTTTTGCATGTAGATAGAAAAAATCAAAATAAAATGTAAGATAACACATATAAAAAGTCAGAAAGCTCTTTCAAGAATGTTTTGAAGTGTTTGTGTTCTTATATATTATATTTTAAAATGTAATTTAAATTAACGAGAATACTGCAAGCTTTCATGTGAAGTAATAAGTTCTTAAAATCAGTTTTCATTTGATTTTAACGTAAGTGGTGCACCATATGTTGTCAGAACATAATTATGAAAAAGGTTCACACTTAATAAAGATAACAAAAAATTTTATTAACCTTATTGCAGAACACAGAAAGGGATCTATTAGCCTGTGTGAGGTCTGAGGTTAGTCATCACTGAAGTATCTGAAATGAATTCCTGTCATATTAATATGTATTTTCTTGGATAAGAGTACTAACTTTAATAACTTTTAGTTGTTTGTCTTTTCACAGAATTAAACTCTTCCAATAATTTTAAATTCTTCCAATAATTAACTTTCATGGATTTTTTTTTAATCATAGAAAAGCATCTAACAGTCAAACATTGTTTTATTAAATTATGATAACTAAATGTTATTCAGGGTCCAGTAAATAAATTCAGAATATAATTTAATATTTTGTTTAAATTTTGATTTTAATATGATTTATCATATTTTTTTCCTTTGTAAATGTAAATGCACCAGGGGTGTTTGTGCTCCGGGGAAACCCCGGAATTCCGGGGATTTTGAACTTTGATCCCCGGAAATTCCAGGGATCATAGTTCAAAAGGAAGTAGGAATAATAATGAATTATTTATTTTGGTCTGGGTAATTTTGTTGCTTTGAAAGCAGAAAATGCAAGGTCAGTGTGGGTGGTGAAAATTTCCTTTCTTTCTCCAAAGGCAGTGAATGCGTGAAAAAGGGGGGAAAAACTTCTTTTTTGTTCTTTCCTTTGCGAGTTATGACTCATTCGCCCGGTCTCGGACATTCTCTTATGGATTTTTCGGCAAGTAGGCGCGCAGAAAAAAAGGGAGACTTCGTCGACCAGATGTGCTATCACGTGACTCTGGGTTCAAAGGTCTTATCTCTCCTGGCGTGGCGCCAATAAGTAGAGAAGGGGGATTTTTCGCCGTATTAGCAATTTGACATTGATCACTTCTCAACTTTTTTTCTCCGTTGTGTGTAAATTTTGTTTTCATTTATTGATGCAGTGTAAATTTTTCGTTTTGTTTTTGAAATTTTTTATTTATGTACGAAAGAGAATTTCACTATGAAATTTCTCTATATAAATAGCGAATTATCATTAGAAGAAGGGTGTCTGGAATGCATTAGGTGGAATTGGATTGAACGGAGAGATGGTAAAGGGGATACCATCGGCACATGGTGCAAGAAAATAAATGTTGCTGGACAAGCATATTGTGTTTTTGTAAACTCAATGCTGAAGTATGGTGGGAAAGTTCAAGGCTTCACAGATCATCTAAAACTGTGACGCACATAAAAATTCAAAGTGCATTAGACATCATGACTTTAAGTATATGCTAATTAAAATATACTCATGCTTACTGGAGACTGATGCTCGGCCATGGAATAGTGACAAGAAAAGCACGCCAAGAGGTATTAATAATTCGTTTATCACCGAGAAATCTTTTTTCAATGTAGCTCCCATTTAATTGAACTCTGCAAACAGTTGAGCCGCGATCAGACGGCACTAAACTCGTTGGCAATGTCCAGGACTACTGCATGTTATAAGATGAAATATGGGCTCGCAAAAATATTAAGGAAAACAAATTAAACTTTAAAGGAGACTCCATATTCTCTAAATTTGGATGAAAGTACTAGCAAGCTCAAGAAAGTATACTGGCATATTGGTGCAGTTTTATGACAACAATCAAAATGAAGTTGTAGTTCATCATTTTGCATTTCTAAGATGGAATCTTGCAATTCAGAAGCTGTTTTTAAAGCAATTGTTAATGCTATGAAGATAATAATATTCGATGGGCAAACTTAATTAGTGTATCAATGGACTCATGTACACCATGCGTGGAAAAAAAAAGGGGTTGTTGAAACCAGACTACGATCAACAAAGCACCCCACTTATTAGATATGATGGTGACACATGTCACACAGCTAATAAATGTGCAAAAAAATTAGCTTCATGTTTTGATAGATATTGTTCGATTGACATCTATTGATATGAAAAGCGCAGTAAAAGAGAAAATTTTTTTCAAAATATGTGTTTTAGAAAAAATCAAAGTATTGTGGGATGCTCTTATTGCATTTTATTTTCACTACTTGATAAAACTGATTAAAAGGGGATTACTTTTCTGATGTGAAACTGTATCAATAAAAGAAATATTTCTGCGCTCAGAAAAAATGGCCAAGGGGTGTACTTGCTTGCATTCCAACAACTACAGAGCCTTTAGCTCAAAAAAAAAGAATACTAGTTATAAAACGAAACTTTATGCATATGGCATTATATTCAGCAATATACCAGAGAAACTATATTAAATTCTTTGAAACAAACAAAAAAAAAAAAAAAAAAAAAAAAAAAACAACTCATTAATACCTTCCAGTATTTATAAATGATGGCAAAAATTTTCTCTTTTTTTATGAAGCCAGAAATATAGAGTGCACATCTTATAATGATTTATTAAAGGTTGATGTCACATCCAGAATTCCATCTACCTAGAAAGTATATTTACTGGTGCAGAAGCTCCACTCTCCTGAAGCAATTATTAAAAAATCATCCATAGCAAAAGAATTCCAAATTTCTCTGATGAAAGCTTAACTAATACAGCACAGATATGAAACAGAAATTACCCTTAAAATTCATATCTCTAGTTTTTACAGCATTTAGATCCAGAGCTAAGAGGTAAACCCAGTACAATATAGCTTTTGAAAAAATAATCATCTTTATGTCCATTATTTTTAATGATAATGAAAGTCAAATAAGAAGCTGAAATAAGGTTACAGAGTGATATTGTATCACCAAAGAAATGCTACACATTGATGAAGTGGAAATCAAGTCAAGGTACAATTGAAAAATATGGTCTCTAAAGGTTTTATTTAAAAGATGATTTCACAAAGATTATAAGTATCCTACATTGGCTTAAATTGTTCAAGCCTGCCTTAGCTGCTTCTATGGCCCATAGTGGAAGTGCTTCAACTTAATGGATATTGTCACTGACTATAGAACCTCTCTTAAGATGATTCCCTAGATGCAGTGCAGACTATAAATAGATAATGGCTTCTAAAGAAACCTCATGTGAAAAAATATGGTTAAAAAAATCCAGTGACTCATCAATTCACAAAGATCTGGTAGAATATGAACAGAAGTTGGAAAACATAATCAGAGGACTTAAAAAATGTATTCAGATGAGTCACTATAAAAATCTCTGAAAAACCTTACATTAGCAGAAAACAAAATGCTTACCTCTGCATGTGCAGTTCTCGAGGAATTTCTTCAAATATAAAATGAGGAAATAAAAGTAACTTCCTGCAATATAAAGTCACCACCAGAAAGACAAGCCACAAACATCAGAAAAAAAAAAAAAAGCAGCAGAAATTAGAGAATTTTTTTTTAAGAATTATCAGGTAATTTAAAATATTTACATAAAAATGTAGTGTTTATATGTTTGAAAATGTTATGCGTATTAATTTTGCAAAAAAAAGTAATTCATTGAACTTTTATAATTAGGCATCAATACTTCATAATTGTAATTTTTCATTTCTCTCCCCACCCTTCTCGAAACTCCAAATGTCGGTAGTAAGTCCGTAAAGTTTCAGGGGATTTTTGGGGTCCACAAACACCCCTGCTGCCCCATGATATTAAAAATTTGTTTCTTTTAAAGTTGATTAAATATCCCAACTTGCTAAGTCCAAGAATTAAAAATATAAAATAATTAATTTTGATGGAAAAATTTCTAATTAAAAAAGTTATCGGAATACTGCGTGAACTAATTATGCAAATGTTGTTATGTGTATGTTGTTAAATGTATAATACAAGAATTTAAGAAAGAAATATAGGAATATAAATAATGTAAGAATTCATTGAAGAAATAGTCAAAAAATGTTTTTTTAATTTTATGTATTTATATAATTTTTATTTTTTACAGTCGGTGATATTGCACTGCTAAAAATATGCTTATTTGTTTCCTGTTTGATACCTGGAGTTTAAGATTACAGTTTTTGAAAGTTTTCAGACACATATCTGTAATTTTGTAAATGGTGATTTTGATTTCCTTAATCGCCTATGTTTAAACATGTTATATTATAATCATAATACTTAATTAAACTTATTTTTTGCATTTATTTATAGATTCCATCTGTTATAGCTTCATTGTGGGATGCTCTTTTAGATCTTGATGATTTAACAGTTTCCACAAGTAGCATATTACAGCTTTTGGCATCTTTATTATCATTTGCTTCTGAACATTCTTCAGAAAGGTATTAAATCTGAAATCTCTGAATCTAATGTGCTGAAATTTATTATAAAAATTTATTTTATTTTTTTAATAAAGTATTAGTTTTGAATTGTATTTTCATTTTCTATCATTATTTCAAAAATATTAAGAATTAGTAAAATGTTGTTTATATTCATTATTTTCTTAGTTACTCAAATTTTGAAGAGCTTATTCCCCGTCTTTGGCCATTTTTAAGTCATAATTCATCAGGTGTAAGAAAATCTGTTCTGCAAGCCCTTATCACTTTGACATCAAGTACCAGTTCTCAGGTATTTTTTTAAATTGAAATTAGAGATTAATAAATTAAAAATATGAGAGTAATAAATTAAAAATATGAGACTAATAAGTTTGTAGAGACATTAGTTATTTTTGAAGAAGGAAAGATGAAAAATGAGCAGCACCTTCACCGGGAATTGAACCACGGACCTCTGGAATACGTGCCCAGCTTGCAGACTGTCACACCATGAAGGCATGCTAAGAAGGCAGGAGAAATACCTTATAAGTGGATTACATCTTCATTACTTTTATTCATAATCTATGCCAATTTAAAGACACTAGCTTTTGGGAGAAGGTAGGCAAAAAACAAAAAAGAAAGGAAAGAGAAGTAATCTAAAGAAGTGGGACCTAATTGTATGATTAAAGGAAGTATTGTAATCGCAGAAAATTCTGGCCATCATATTTCAATGAAAATATCTATTTTGACTGCTAATGAATGTAATTTAACCATGTTTTTGCATGACATCTGTACGTAAAGACAGAATAAAGGACTCTTTTTCCCCAAACAGGTTATAAAATTTATTTAAAATGGATTAAAAAATTTTTTTTCTGACATCTGTACATATGTACGTATATATGTATGAATGTATCTCGCATAACTCAGAAACGAGTAGCCTCAGAACGTTGAAATTTTGTATAGGACTGCTGTAACATGCAGCTGTGCACCTCCCTTTTCGGTTGCAATTAGCCACACCAAAAGTATGTAAATATATATATCCACTCTGTTACTCAGCTCAGTGACCTCAATTTTTTTATTCTTATATGTTGACAAATTATGCATTTTTTTTTAAATTAAAAAATTATTTAAATGTTATTCTTATCTTTGGGTAAAGGTTTTTATGCCTTTATTAATCTGCATGCAGTAGAGTTAACAACAATTTAAAAGTTGTTTAAGTGCAACTAAGCCTAATTTTTGTTTACCAAAGCAGCCATATTTCTTTGCATTTGAAATTTGCAGAATAGTTAATTAATTAAGTTTCTGCACCAACTTCAATGTTTTTTTGCTGGAGTGGGGACCAAAAGTAAACTTCTAATTTTGTGCTCCAAAAAATCTGGCATGTTGCCTGCTGGCTGAATTGCTTGTTTTTGTGTAGAAACTTTAATTTTAATTCTAAAAATTGTTTTTTTAATGGTTTTAACTGTATTTGGTGTTTTATATTTTCTCTATTTTTCAATTTTTAATCAAGATATTTTGAGGGTTTATGCATTTTTGCATTGCGGAGAAATGAGTATTGACTTAATTGAATAAGAAATCTATCTCTAATGAAATTCAAGTAAATAAATTTAAATGAAATGCAGTAAAAATATGTATAATTTAATCTTCCGTACAAGGAAGTCATGCAATGTCCTCATCAGATTTTTTCCCTAATTTGAACAAACTTTGAAAAAAATTTATTGGATAAGTCATTATTTAATAGTAATGCATATTTGTTGTTTTGAACAAGATTAATTTTTTTAATTATTAAAATAAGATTAAATTGTGCTTAAAAGTATATAGTAGTAATGTATTAATATTTAATATCAAATAAATAAATTATTAAGTCAACATTGGGTAATGGTTAACTAACCTGTCATTGTTGAATTAAGTCATGCAACAGTATGCTGTGTAGCAGTGGTGATCAGTTTCTGTACATATCAGGACATTGGTCTTTGAACATATAACATGCGCTTGTGCAAAATAGCACAAATGCTGCAGAGTTATTAATACAACTGAAAAATATTCAAACATAATGTAATATAATTGTGTGAGTATTTTATTATCACTTGAATAGTATATAACATGTGTGTATTTAGTGTATTTAACCATTTCTTGTGGACTATAGAGGCTAATTTTATATATATTAGGACCATTTAGTAAACTATTTAACAAAAACTAATCTACAGGGTCTGCCTGACCATATAAACTACTAAATATTAATTCTCTATAGTAAATTAAATTTTTTGAGCCATATTTCATTTAGTGAATGTCTGGGATATATATAAATACCCTAGTCCTCAAAGGAAGATTAAGTCCTCCACTATATTCATTTTAGAGTTATATGGTACTTACATATTATCCCATGAACTATAAAACTTTCATCAAACAATGCGATTTAGTATGAGTTATGGATAAGTGTGTCATAACAATATACTCATAACATCTGCACTTTCATTTGATGTAACCTTGATTGATTCTCGATAAGCCATATTTTATTTTCATGGATAAGAATATAAAGTACTTGTTGCTATATTTTTCCATGCATTTTAAAAGAAATGATTAAAATTTGGAACCTACTTTATGAAGAACTGTAAGCAGTGGATTATTTTCAAAGTCATGGGATCCTATCATCAGAAAAGTTTATATTAATGAACATGATATGGTAAGTTGTATATGGCAGACAAAAGAGTAATAGATAGGAGGAATAACCTGTTGAAGTTGTACTCATAGTATTCCGAACAAAGCTTCAGGTATTGGATGGCCTAACAAAATAGTAGAAATCAACGAAAGCGCTTTTATGAAGCGCAGAAATAACGTGGGTCAAATAATGATTGTTTATTAAATAAAGAGGTGCTATCAGGAACAGTTGGAATAACTTTGATTAATCGCCACTAACTTTCATAGTCAAAGGGATAATGCATAAATACCAGATACATTAATATTACATGTGTGCATTTTTTTTTTCTAAATTGCTATGAAATATAACTTTCAAAATTAAACACTGACATAAGGCTTTGTGTAGGTAAATAGAGATAACCATGGAATGTATTGTTTTGAAATATAAATAAAAGTCAAGAATAAAAGTCTTAAATAAATAAAAGTCTTTGTGCATTCTCTAAAAAAAATTTTTAATGCCATGTCGTAACATTTCTGTTATGTTTAACTTTGTTAACATTCTCCCCTTTTTTGTATGAATACTGATTTCACTGGCACCTTTAAATTTATGCCATACCTCACATTTTCAGTGCCATGTTAGCATATTTTGGCTTATTTCTTTTCCCACAGCCTTTGGCTTGATATTAAATGAATAGGAACAGCAGCAAGCCTTTGGCTTGATATTAAATGAATAGGAACAGCAGCAAGAAATATTCACTAATTTCAGGACAAAATCCTTCAAAACTTACTGTGGGAGAAGAATCATCAATTTTAAAGTTAGGCTAGATTACAGGGTTTATTAAACAGCTGTTTTATGTAATTATTCCAATTCGCCTTTCAGTGGTGATTCATTTAAGCAAGCTTTGTCTGCAGAACTCATTGGCTGAGCATTGGTATTTTGACCCAGGTTCAAGTGCCAGCAAATAGGGTGGCTTTCCCCTCATGGAGGTGGACTACTTTCATATGCATCACGATAATCTAGCCCATGTTCTGCTAATTCAGCCCATGCTCAATAAATGGATTCAAGTTATGATTCTAAAGTATCTTTTCCGGACTCGTCGAGACTTCGGCGATTCTGGATTAGGGTCTTTTCTGGATTAGAGATCATCAATTTAAATCTGGTAAGACGGCATGTAGAAATTATAAAATTAAAAATATGAAACCGTAATTTATGAAATAAAGAGCAATTATGATCTAAAGGGTATCAAAATTGACAAAAAAGGTTAATATTTATTTGTTTACTTTATTAAATATTTCTTTCAATGTAAGTTGTTTAAGTTACTTCATTTTATGTGCTAATACTTTCTCTTTAATTCTATAAATGAACATAATTTCTTGTTCATTTCCAAAGTTCCGCTGTTCAAGTCCTGTAATTGCTGTGCCGAGAATACCAACTAACTTGTCAATCGAAATTTTTTCGTTTTCACTAACATCTCTGTCACTTTCTTCATACCGTTATCCATTTTTTGCAGCAATTCCACTTTTTGTTTGATGGACATCGAAACATGCTTTCGCTTTGTAGATCCTTTGGCAGCTCCAGAATCGGAAACTCTTTTTACATAATCGAAAGTTCAAGCTTACTTTTTATAAAATTGCTCTAACAGTCTGCAAAAAATAATAAGCCGGATTTAATTAGAAGATTAAGGAACAACACAATCTGAAACATTAACTGTAATAGATAATTTTAGCCTTGCTTATACTGCATGCGTAAATATATTATGAGTATAACATGCATGCGTAAACGCATACGTGCATGGGTAAGGGTATTATGCGCTTATGCATTTACGCATGCGCAGAAAGTTTGTAGCTTTGAGGTCTGGATTATGGACTTGCTTAACTCCTTGTATATTACATATATTTATTTATTTTCCAATTCCAAACACTACTGGGATATTCCTTTGGAGAAGAATGTAATATATAGTACATGCTTAGCTACAGAAGGCATCCATCTTCTGAGGTACCACCTGTTGTGTACTTTGCTGTAATTGCAATAATGCAGCCCTGGCACCATAAGTAAGTATGGACAGTAATCTTGAAGCAGCCCCTTTTTTCATCTCTTGGCAAATCCCAAGTTATACAATTAATTGCAGTAAAGAATAATCCATTTGGAAAAGAAACCAAACCAAATTTTCACTTTTTGTTTTGATGCATATTTTCATTTTTTTTTTTTTGAGGGGCCATATTAAAAGCTGTATTTTATTTTATTTTTTTTAGCCTTGTCCCTCATGGCATCCAGGCATATTGCAGCCAGCACTACGTCTTTTATTTCAAAGGTGTTTAATTGAGCCTCTTCCTGAAATACATGATTTTCTTTTTACTGTAAGTAATCATATAAGTTGTTTTAAAAAATTATTATGTTGAACATTTAGCAATATTAAATGATTTTAAATAAATTATTTGTGCAAAAACCAAATGTCATAAATTTTTAGGGTAAATGTTATTGTAAAAAATCCATCTTATTAGTAAATATTGTTAATTGCAGTAGTATGAGATACTAGTTATTCCATATTAGCAATTTTTAAAAACATCTTGTGTTGAAAAATCCGAAATATGGTATAGCGTTTTTTTTATGTTTAATATCGTGTCTTAAAAAAGTAAGCCACTCTGATTTTAAATCAATGTGTATTTCAAACTAATTTATTATTATTCTGTTTTTTGCAGGTGTGGAAAAATATAATTTCTCAAGCACCTTTAATATCTGTAATTTCATCTGTTATTTCGTATCTTAGTTCTTGGTTAACAATGTTAATGCAACCATCTACTGTACCAATTGATCCCAATGTAAATAGTGCCTGGCTAGAGGTTCCACATAAACTAAAGGTATTTAGTTTGCATAATATGTGTCTTTTTTCTATTTCATTTCTACTTCCGTAAGCTTTGAGTTTTTTATAATAATAAAAGAGATAAATGTATTAACTTAACTATAGTATGTAATAAAAAAAAATGTGTCCAGCACTTAATCTCCTGCCAGTTCCATGTTAAGACATGAAATTGGTAGAATAGCAATGAGCTTTAAGTCAACTGTAACTTCCAACTGATCATTTATAAATAAGGTCTAATTCATTATAAACTTTATGACTCAATATTAATTGGTAACTAACTAATGACTAACTAATAACTAACTAATGACATAATTAACTAATTTGTTTATTATTCTGTTCAAATTAGTATTAATGGCTACTAATTTGTTTATAATTCTGCTCAAATTAGTATTAATGGCTACTAATTTGTTTATTATTCTGTTCTTCCATACATTGGACACTGTTAGCTAAATGTGCTTATGTACACATTTATTTTCATCATTTATATCATCATATTTTGATTTGAAAATATCGCATTGGTTGTACAGTACAAAGTCTTTAATCCGGAATGATCTATAATCCGGACCTCAAAGCTACAAACTTTCTGCACATGTGTAAACGGATCATGCATTTATGCATGCGCATAACACGTTTCCGCATGCACGTTTAATGTATAACGGATGGTATAATCTAGGCTAAAATTATCTAATTATCTATTTCAGTTAATGTTGCAGATTGCGTTGTTCCTTAATCTTCGAATTGGATCCGGCTTATTATTTTTTGCAGACTGTTAGAGCAATTTTATAAAAAGTAAGCTTGAACTTTCGATTGTGTCGAAAAGAGTTTCCGATTCTGAAGCTGCCAAAGGATCTACAAAGTGAAAGCATGTTTCGATGTCCATCAAACAAAAAGTGGAATTGCTGCAAAAATGGGTGAAAGCATATCCTTTGTTTCTCTAACCATTCCGAATTCCATTTATCAATTTCACGCTGCTCTGTGGGGGGGGGGGACGTCGCTGCGGCCAATGAACTGGAAGTTGATCTGTCAGCACTATCCTCATGTTCAGGGCAAATGTTTTTATTTTTTATAATTCCTTTCTAAATGTAGTATTTCATCTTGATGTACTCTGTTTTTGATATGATTTAAATCAAATTCCCCGTCATTATAAATATCACGAATACACATCAAATAATTTTCGGGTTGCAATTTTCTAATTTCAACTATGCTTAATGTATGCTTTACGCGTGCGCGCATTGAAAGAAATTTTTAATAAAGTAAACAAATAAATATTAAGCTTTTTTTTTTTTTTTTTTTTTTGTAAATTTTTATACCTTTTAGATCATAATTGCTCTTTATTTCATAAATTGTGGTGTCATATTTTTAATTTTATAATTTCTGCATGCCATCGTACCAGATTTAAATGGATGATCTATAATCCGGAATCGCTGAAGTCTCGATGAGTCCGGATTAAAGACTTTGTACTGTAGTATATGCTGTGGTCAAATAGTATTTCTAATTCACATATCATTGGTTTTTAACAATCACAAAATTTTTAAAAGCAATATATCTTATAATTTTTGACAGAGTGTTAATTTTTGCCATACATTTCTTTTTCACTCTTTTTCTTGTTTATGATATCAGTATTCAGTTTTCTTAATAAGATGACCAGCTTTTTTTTGGCATTTGAACTTTATTTATTGAATGTCACTTTCTTTCTACTTACACCACGTAAATTTCAACAGCTATATCACAAAATCTTTCAAATTAGCATATCTTTAGAATTCCCAATAGAGTGTTAATTGTTGTCGTACTTTGTATTACTATATTATTTATATTTGCTATATTACTTCTTTAAAAATGATATATAATGTCAATGTATGGTAGCAGCATTCTTTTATTTGAAAAATGATTCAACAAAAAGTGAAATGAACACAAAATCCAAGATTGATGCTAATATTTTTAATTTCTTCATAACGAAAGCTTGTATTCATAATTAACTAATTCTCGTTGCATTTAGCATAATTCCAAGAATACATTTAATGCTAGTAAATTTAAGGTGTTTTTCTCAATCACATATCTATTTTAAATACCAAATTTGAGAAGTTTTGGATTATCTCATAACATATTTTTTTACAAAAATCTGTTCCGAGCTTTCAGTAAAGTATCACCTCAGATTAATTTTAGCCAAAATCTAATATGTTATTCCGTTCATATAGAAGTCTCAAATAATAAAATTTAAAAGTTTTGGACAATATATTAATATAGCTTTTCATTTAAATCTGTTATGAGCTTCAAGTAATGTACCACTTCTCGTAGTCCAGTTTTACTAAAATCTAATCAACTTTGTATAGGAATGTAGAATGCTTAAATACAGAAAATAGAAGTTTTTGGAAGTTTCATAAGAGAGTTAATGGTGGATGAAAAAGTCATCACACACATGCATACAAGATAGACGTCATTGTAAAAAAAAAAAAAAATAATAATAATAAAATAAAAAAAATAATTCTTCTGGGGACCCTAGTTTGTGCTTGTTCTCTAAAAACTCACTATAAAATTTTTGGACTGAAAACATTACCTACCTATGTAGATAGGTTGGCAGGAAATAATAAAAATAGTGAGTTTCCTTTTTTTCCCTCCAGTGAAGCTGCCATGTTCATGCACATTTTTTTTTTTTTTTTTGAATTCAGAATCCCAGCAATATAAACAGGCATTTATGGGCTTCAAGTAAAGTACCTCTTTTAGTTGTCCAATTTTATCCCAAATGTAATCAGTTCTCTGTGTGAATGCAGAAAGCTTATTTACTGAAAAATTGAACTTTTTGGATGCTTGATATAAGAAGTAATGAAGATTAAAAAATCCTCACACAGACATACACATGGACTCACAGTATAGTAAAAATATTCAAAATATTTTGTGGAGACTCTAATTTATGATTATTTATAGAAAACTCACTATTGAATTTTTGTATCAAAAAATTACCTCTCTTACCTTCCATAGGTTGACAGGAGGTAAAATGAAACTAAATTCTGCATTTCAACTAAAAGGAGGAAATATCTTTTACAAAAATGTGTTAACAATATGGTAGTGAATTCAGTCTGTATAATAATACTGATATTAATGTGAATTGTAAAATAAGCTTTGTTTTTTGGCAGTGAACATTTTCAAAATAAAAAATGCTAGTAATGAATTACAAAATATGTTTCTTTTGCCTAAAAAAAATATTTTTTAAAATTTTGTGATACTGATAATTTTTTTGCTAATATCTTAGAAGAGATTGTAAGTTTTACTTAAAAATAATTAATGCATATAGGTACTGGAAATTTATTATTTATTTTATTTATTTACTTACTTTCCTTGTTATTGTCAGCAATGTAGTTAATTCTAGTGAATGACAAAAGCTGAAAACTATTAATGGAAATTAAAAACATTAATTAAAAGTTATGCCACATGAAAGTACAATTTGAAAGATGTAAAAATATTGGACTGTCTTTTGTAATTTTTGATTGCTAAAATATTGATTGTGGTCTTGATAAGATCCATTAAAAACCATTTTCTGTGGACAATTTTTATATGGAAAAACAGAATTTATAGAGTTAGTGGTGAATATTAACAATAATTTAATTACTTTGTAGAGCCATCTGGGTAGGAAAGATGTCAATTATTTCAGAATTTGACTTGTGTAAAGGACATGCAGCTGAGTGTTTGTTATCTGTAATCATTATTAGGTTGTTTGGTGGTTGTGAAATTCCTTTCCTTGAAATCTTTCTTTCATATGCACTTTTATATAATAATAAGGTACTTTTCCGTTTCGGCAGCGCAAATCTCGCTAAGCAGACTTTATTATTGACAACGTACAGTATACACATAAAAAATGTTAACAAATGTTAGTTCTAAGAGTTTTTAATTTTGAAGGCATAAACATTTTAATATTGTTTAAAATTTTGTAAAAAGTCAATAAAATAAAGACAGTAAATTTGTAAAATAACATTAGTTTAACTCTTTGAAATCCAGACCCTTCACTAATCTGTATCCTCGGACCTGTATCCTAAAGTACCGGACCGCCCGAAATAGTTTTCCAGTTTCACAGCAATTTCCTCCCCTCCCCGTCCATTAATGCAGAAAATAGGTGTGAAGATTTCCAATGACATCCTTTGTACTTTCTAACAAAGATTCCATTACCCTTTGACCCCATTCTTTATAAAACTATTCTGAAGGTCAGACCAACAAGCCTTTCCGGCTTTGTTATGATCACGACTAAGATTTCCATTATTTTTATAGGAAGGGAAAAATTGTTTAAAAACAAATATAATCCTTCAATTTTTAAACTGCTCTTTTGTTGCTGTTTAAAGCTTAAAAACGCACTGTACCACAAAAGAATCAACAACGAAATGTCACCAACTAAAAGATAAGAAAATTCTTAGGACAAGCTGTCTGCAGTAAACTGATACAATGCATTTGGAAACTGCACTTGCTACTGCATACCTTAGGGGGAGGGAAGAAAACAAGATTACAATCTCGGCCGTTTTCGGGCGGTTCTGGTTGTTTCAATGTAGGTCCATGTCGGGTGGATTGGATGTGAAGGAGTTAAGAATTTACTATGCTTTTCATAGTTCAACATCCTGATTCGCCGGTTCGTATCACGTGACCCCAAGTGATCTCATCTCACGTAAACTACACTACAAAAATCTAATTATCTACATTAATTTCAAGTTAAATCTTAATTTGGAATACAAGTTTAAATTCAAGAATTACTTCAATTTGTACGAATAGCTTATGTAAAACCGCTATATGCCAGTATTGAAAGAAACAATCAATGTGATAAGAAATGGCTGCAACTTGTTTTGAAAATGAGGTGTAAAAGGTTACCAGTGAGGATATTCCATTTGGCATCAGTTGTACCATTATTGGCGATTTTATTGCTTGTGCCAGCAAAACGGAAAAGTACCATAATATATAATAAAGATATGATTCTGGGAAATAAGATTTTCATTTCTGTAATTAAAAATAAGTAGGATTTTT